GAAAAGAGACAAAGATAAATGTGTACAAGTTTATTCATGAAATAGAATTTAATGAAATAGGTAAACATGTCCTTACACCAAGTTGACAAAACGAAACAAAAATGCAATGCAAGAAAAACTGATAATGAATTACTACTATTTAAATAAATGCCACTAATTCAATTATGATGAATAGCTAATTTCTAGAATAACAAATACTTGTATGTCGAAACGTAAAATGCATGTCTTTGAGTAACTGTCAATTTGTCGTACCACCCTAAGTGAGGAGTTCATTAATCAAGATTGTCTGTACAAAGCTCCTTGTGAAATCTGAATAAGCAACATAAAATTCTGCTGTTTTGCCATGACCAAGGTGTTGACATAGACAAATTGCTTATACATTGTACAAGAAGCAAACTTGTACATGCTATCAAAGAGCAACAAAGAACATTTTAAAGTACACATGCACATGTGTACCAATATCAACTGAACTACAGGCACATGACTGCATGATGCCTATCAAGTTAATTCAAATGAAGATCTGTATGTTTTTCTCACATATGAAAAAAAGGAAGCTAAAACTTGTATATTCTTTGTCCCAATCCCAATGAAATGGCATGAATATTATTGGCTTAACTTGCTGTTACAATATTTGATTTTTTTTCTTGAGGGGTGGGGGGGAGGGGGGTTAAAAATGAATTATGGCCTCAAAATACCACAAAACCATGTTACCTTAAAAAAAGGGACTGCTTAACTTTGATACACACTCTGAAAAACAATGCAACATTTATCTGCTTTGAAGTAGTATACTGTAAACTATCTAAAATAAACACAATTGCATCAACGAAATTTATAAAACAAATTCTTCAAAATGTTGTCCGCCTTAATATTAGATTAAGGTTATTTAATTACCTGACATATGTTTACCACTACAGTCTGTTTGATATTTATTTATAGAATTATATATATATATATATATATATATATATATATATATATATATATATATATATATATATATATTGTACCAACCAATAAGATGAAACAAATGTTATCAAGATTCTAAAGACTTATTGGTTTTGAACCAGCATGATGACTTAAACTCAACATAAGGTTACATTGTAGAATTTAGGCCTACCTGCCCAAAGTCACTATGCAGGCCTTACGTGCAATAACGTCAAAAACTGCTGGCTGGAACCCGATCCAGATTGTGAAAAAGATAAACTTCATGACTGAATTGAAGTTAAAACAACTCAATAACTTGGTATATTACTTTAGTACTTTATTATATATATATAATCGAATTTCTTTTTTATACAGGTTCATGTACTTTTAATTCAAAATAGCCTACCACGAGGGGAACGCTGTAGCTAATATGCAATGTGTTGTATTTTTCATGTCATATATTTGAAGGTCACATTAAACAGCTTATTAAATTCAAATATACTTTGTACTAGCACCAATATTATTAGATTTTATTGACAGGGTGGCAACATTTCATGAAGATTTACTCACCTGACAAAAGGTAAAACCAATACTTTGTTTTCTGAGCCGTTGAAAGTTTACATTTTAAAAACTCCGATGCTTCAGAACTATTAAATTAACAACTGTCGTCTGCTAAATTTGGTCACTTCGTAATGTCAACATTTACACCATGTCATTTCCATTACTAGGGGCTAATAATACACAGAACAACCTGTCACTTGTGTATGAACACTTAGATCTACCAAATCTCTTTAGAATCCCAGTAAATCCGCCCTAATGCAAACATATCTCGAGTTAATCAAACAGCGTGTGCGAACACTCAAAACTGTTCATACTGAAAACTCCTAAATCAAAGTACGACACAACGTTCCAACAACACAGCTTACATTTAGTTTCGGTTACGTCTAAAACCTCAAGGTCTTTCGTGTCGCTGTCTCATCTTCATTCACACAAACAATATCTCGTCTAAACATGATTTACAGACAGCAAAGATCATGCTAATCTCAGCCGACTTGCCAGAACGCATGTATCTACTGACAACAAATAGCATTCTATCGATTGTACTTACATCCGGTTAATAAATTAATTGAGGTATGCTCAACAAAACTAAATATTCCCAAAGAAATAAGCTTTATTCGTAGCTATATTGACAATTAGTAAAAAGTTAAAATGTTCACATTGATATGAAATATAAATAAAACCTATAATGTAGTGGCAGGACATTAATTAAAAAGCAATTAATGGTCATTAAATGGAACAGCCCACGAAAAAATGAGATTACATAGTCATGTGACACGATGTTGGGCCGCCTACGTCATGCATAAACATGAGATTTATAACCCAATGAAGTTTAAGGCAAACAAATGTTAACACATTAGATATGATATTTAATTCAAATGTTAGTGAAAACTATATTGTCTAAACAGGCACTATTGAAAGTGGGAATTTGAAAAGCTAATAGAAAACAATTTGCTGATCCCTCAAGTTCACTTGCAGTTTTTAAAAATCAAGTTCACTTGCAGTTTTCAAAAATCAAGTTCAGTTTTAAAACAAATCAAGACAAATTATTAAATAACTGATACACCACTTGTCATCAGACTGTCTGTGTGGGGGAAGAGAGACCACACTTGTCATCAGAGATTATCTGTATGAGGGTATTGAGGTACTACTATCATCAGAGAAGGTATTTAACGGAGAGTCATCAGACTGTATGTATTGGGGTATAGAGACACCACTTGTCATCAGAGAATTTCTGTAAAGGGGAATAGAGACACCATTTGTCACCAGACTGTCTTGTCATCAAAGGGGTGGAGAGGAATGAGAATGAAACAGCACTTTCATCAGAGACTGTCAATATGAGGGAATTGAGACCCCACTTGTCAACAGACTGGTCAGTTTCCTCCAACAGCAAGCCCTCTAGCATCATCTAATTGAGCCAACGGGATTGAATAAGAGAATTAAATATAAGCATAGTTTATTCTAATGTATCACTAGGGATCATATTCACCTGTTAAAAGTAGCCACCTGTCTAAACAAACCACCTGTCAAAGGTAACACCTGTCTAAACAGACCACCAGTCAGAGGGAACTACTGTCAACAGACCACCAGTCAAAGGGAACACCTATCTGCATAGAACAGCTGTCAAAGATAATCACCTGTCTACACAGACCACCAGTCAAATGGAACACCCATCTACACAGAACAGCTGTCAAATGGAACACCCATCTACACAGACCAGCTGTCAAATGGAACACCCATCTACACAGACCAGCTGTCAAATGGAACACCCATCTACACAGACCAGCTGTCAAATGGAACACCCATCTACACAGACCAGCTGTCAAAGATAATCACCTGTCTACACAGACCACTAGTCAAATGGAACACCCATCTACAAAGAACAGCTGTCAAATGGAACACCCATCTACACAGACCAGCTGTCAAAGATAATCACCTGTCTACACAGACCACCAGTCAAATGGAACACCCATCTACACAGAACAGCTGTCAAATGGAACACCCATCTACACAGACCAGCTGTCAAATGGAACACCCATCTACACAGACCAGCTGTCAAATGGAACACCCATCTACACAGACCAGCTGTCAAATTGAACATCCATCTACACAGACCAGCTGTCAAAGATAATCACCTGTCTATAAAACACCTGTTTAAGAGTACACCTGTCTACACTGACCACTTGTCAAAGATAACACCTGACTACATGGACCATTCGTCAAAATGGACAACAAATCAAAGGTAGTCGCCTGTTTACAAACCAACTGTCAAAGAGACCACCTGTCTACACTGACCACCTGTCAAAGGGAACATCTGTCTCAGGACCACCTTTCAGAGAGAACACGTCTACATAGATTATCTGTCAAAGAAAACACCTATCTGCATAGACCATCAGTCGAAGGGAACACCCATCTACACATACCACCAGTCAAATAGAACACCTGTCTACACAGACCACCTGTCAAAGATAATCACCGTTCTAAAACCACCTGTCAAAGGAGCACCTGTCTACATAGACCACTTGTCAAAGGGAACATCAGTCTAAGGACCACCTTTCTGAGGGACCATCTATCTACATAGACCACTTGTCAAAGTGAACACCTGTCTTCAGACCACTAATCTACGCAGGCCACTAATCAAAAGTAGCCATCTGTCACTGTGTCAAGGAATCTACCTTCCATGAACACCAATAATAGGGGAAAAATGCCAGTTGTGATTGCCTGCCCTGGGATCTTTAATGTGGAAAATTATACAGAAAATGACAATGAACTAGCCTCTTAAGATTGATATGCATCTAAAATTCTGCAAAAAATATTTTCACCTTACACGTTTTGGGCAACTTGTTCCAGAAACATCAAAATTTTTGTATTGGCTGTTTCCATGGTAACAAGAAAAATATGGAAAATGAAAATTCCACCACAGTAGAAGATTCAACAAGATTTATGCACTTAAATGCACACATTGGAACTGTCTTTGTTTTATCTCTATATGTTAACCAGATTAAGTTAAATGTGCACTTGAAGCCAGTAAAAAAAAAATCACATTTTTGTGCACTTCCTTAAAGATGCCATATTAAATTCAAGCACAATAAAATGCTAATTAAATAGCATACTTAAACAAATTCCTATACATGGCTATCACCTAATGATGGCAGATAAGTCTGGCGTATTAAACCATAATCTGACTTTGACCTTCAAGTAACCTGTCAACAAGCCAAAACACATGTTGAATTGAAACAGAAACTATTATTTGGGACATGCAGATTTAGACTTACCTCCCAATTTTTGCTGCAATTTTACTTGTTTCAACTGAAATGGTAAGTCACATTCGTTCAATTCTTTTTTTTTTTTATTATTTTCATCTCTAACTTTTCTACAAATTACCATGTTTTTCCCTTTTCAACTCTCTTTTTCAGTCAAATTAAACCTTTCTGAATCTTTTTTCCAAAATGAAAATGGTTTAATTAACAGGAAAGCATAAATAACAAATTAAACTTTTTACCATTTTTTTATTCTTCTTTTAGTCAAGTTGACACCCTGTGTATTTTTCTAATGACAGAACAATCTATTACATAATAATAATAATAAATAACAAAATATCAAATAACCAGGACATTTTACGATGCAACATCACAGACAGCAACATTACAAATTAGGATGTAGTTAATCAGAATTAATCAATAATTTCATTCTTTTCTTTTTTCTCTGATCATCATACTGAATTCAAACAAGAATGAGTGAGTTAGCTCCCTTATTAATAATCATCACCAAACTTATTCATATATGAAAACTGATTTGCCATACTTGAATGTGAAGCATAATTTGGGGCAGACTTGCAAATATCAATGCAGGTCTCCAATCGCTTACAGAAGATTCTTATGAAATCAAAACAATATTGGTAGTTCTATCCTCATTTCACAAACAATCAGCTCTGGTACAAATGTAACTTGTCCAGCTGTCAAATGAAAATGGCCTGTTTATCACTATTAGTACTAAGTATTAATAAGCTGTTAGAAAATTCTTGGCTAATAAAGGTTCTCCTATAACAGCGCTGTATTATTATAACATTGTGTCCCAGAATACAGAATGCAAGATTCGAGCAAAACTTTGAAGTTATGTGAGGTTTACCCGCAGAATGACCTTAGACAGCCCTTCCAGTATCCATTAATTTAGACTTTGCTGTGGAATATGTCATTTACAGTAAGAGGGTATATATCAGAAACAGCTGAACAATAGATACCTAAATGATTTCAACTAATTCACATAATTTTCTAAGCTTGAGTTTTATTTTTCAATATTTGTTTTCTTCATCATAAATAGAATTTAAACACACAAATATTAAATAACCAAAATCTGAGAAAAGGTCATGATTCATTATAGAAACACTTAATGATCAATGGTATTGTTTTCTCCTGTTGTATGAACAGACCTATAATTAGCTCATTAAGTTAACAGAAATTTTTTAATTTACATTTTTTTCTGGAAAATTTGCTAAATTTCATATCAGCTACTTAATGAAATACATTGAAAATCATCAAAATTTCGTTCACAAAATGTGATCGACTCATCTCAAAAGAAGTGATGATTGTATGGAAAAATGTAGCGTTCTGTGAGGTGCAAGCAAAAATCAGAAACAGGGCTATACAATCTTCCAGAACAACAGATTAAATCATCATGATCACAATTCTAGTATTACCAGATATATCTGGCTATTTTGACATCACAATTAAAACTAGAAATAGACACAAATGAAGCGTTACATATATATATATATATATATGTCAAATTCTAACATAAATTCACAAAACATATAAATTATACAATAAAATTATACATAATTACAATCTGTTACATATAATTTATATAAATTTCTACACATTCATGACGGTATATAGGTATATTGAATAAGCTTCTCTGAAACAAAACAAAGTATCACAAACTTAAAAAGCCAACAAGCTTCCTTTACCGGTATACAACTAAAATCTTGAGGAATGAAAAACTTTAAGTGCATGTCCTTCTTCTTCCACTTCTTCTACTTTTGACAAATGAAAACTTTACAGTCCAACAGGACCTCAGATACTCTCTGCTATCTCATCTACATTCTACCTTTGATTTTTTTGGGTGTTAACTGAAATAATATTTTCATAAAGCAGACATAAAATATTTGAAATATGACTACAATTCTCATTTTTTTTTTTCAATTATCGAAAGTCTGAGTAGTGAAAGTTGAGAGACATATACAGTCTGTGAACTACACAAAAAAACAGTGTTTAACGTCAGGCTGACCATACAAACATCAACTAAACAAAACAAAAATGACAAATTCTTTCAGCAGCGTGTAACACAACAAAATAGTGCCTTAATTCTCTGAAGAAAAATTGAAATGAATTAAGCGATACTTGAACCCTTAATTCAGAAATACAGTATACAAACGTATAAATAGAAAAAAGCTGGAATACTCTCTATCTAATATGTTTAATCAATCAACAATTTCATCCCTAGTAACAAGCCAACCTATACCTTATGTTGTTCCTCAGAATTAAAACAAATCAAGCCCATTACCTGACTTTGAGTAAAATGTTATGTGTTGGCTCCTGAGCTTATTACCGGAGAACTATGGTTCGTGTTTATTTTATAAAGCCAACCATGAATCTTAACTTTCATAATTCTTAAAATTTAATGTCAGTTCTTCTAAAATTAGTAATTAGTAATGCATTTCCATCAATTTTACCACCATGATGAAAATGCTGATTTTATCTCTGACGCCTGCACTTGATATTTGACATTCTGTTTGAGAAATGTCTGTTGGGTAACGGAAATTCAGTCTATGGAATAGACATCATAAATCTTTGATAAACATTACATAATTCCTTAATATGAGTGTACAGTGTCATAAGAGTCTAGAAATTTGATCCACATTAGTATTTGCAAAAATTTGAATATTAGATATATAATTATGAAATTAATGGTTGGTTTGGAAATTTTCAAAACATGCATACAGGCTTATATATGTAAAATGATATTGTACAGAATTTTAAAATCACTGAACTGCATCGTTTCACACATGAACAGTTTTGAGCACAATCATGATCAAAACAGATATGTTTATATTATCTATGACATTTTTGAAAATTTAGAACAGTCAACTAACACAGGCAAAATCTTGCTGGTATCCCTTTTTAACCAGAAATAAATGCTTCACACATACTATAACAAAAAACATGACTCTTATGAGACAATGTACATGTAATGATTAAATAGATATATTTACGAAGAAGTAAGCTATAAAGAAACAATAGCAATATTCATTCTCGCACTTCATAGTATTTGCCATTTATAAATGTCCATGACTTTTCATTTGTAAGTCATGGAAATGACCTTGAGAAGGTCAACAATTATTTTGCACTATACCCAGTATATAACACTTCCAGCAACATAAATACAAAGTGACTATACATTTCTCAACTTGTGTTGTCCTTCTTCAACCAAAACATTTTAAATACAGAAAAAAAAAAATGTGTGAAACATGAAACACATTAATATGTATCTTGTATTTCTCTCAAGCACAGCCCATATATAATGAAAAGTCTAAGGAGTATTTACCAAACTAGAGAATTTGTTCATTGTATATCAAACAAACCAAAGTTTAAGATGACGAGAATTAGCTCCTTTGATAAATTTTCACTCCAACCCAAAATACATTCTCCAAGATCAAAATAAGCATAAGGGAAAAAAAAGTAGAAAGTAATTTGTTTTTGATCCATTTTTGTTTTACAATCTTTCAGTGATTCATTAATCAATCAGCTTTTTCCCTAATTTTTACACTCATGGTTGTCTTACTTCCATTTTAGTCTTTTTATGCAGTATTAAGTTTTCTTGTCGAGACAGTACTAAAACTTTTTGCTTGTGTGCTGACACTTATCATATGTTTTTATTTAATTTTTTTTATTTCACTAAAATCTATATAAACATTACTTAAGATTCCAACATAACACCTTGACAAAACCATGCATCCTCTAATTAATTTAACAATAACAATAATTAAAAAAATTCAAAGCATTTGATGTCATATGCATTGTTAAACCTCAACTGAAATAATGATAAATTACATATGTATGGTTGACAGCATTCAGTAATGTCCCTGTATGGAAAACATAAGTTGCCAAATGTTTTGTTAATATAATGTCATTGATATGATTACATGAAAAAGTTGTCATATTTTAACAGCATTCTTAATAAAAATGGTTGTTAAGTTTCCCTTCATATTACATAAAGCTTCATTTCTAACACTCTATTAACATAATGTTATTCAGTATTATCAGTTCATATATTCTGATATCAAATATGAGTCATCATTTCTTGTGTACTTCATACATGTATCATCATTAACCAGATCAAGTTTATATTATCTCTAGCAAAAATTATTTCGCAGGTTTACCAGGTATTGCAAAAGTAACTTTTGGTATCAGCACCGACACGATACCTGGTACACAATACATACACCAGTCACAGACACAAAGTGATACAAATCTGTCATGAACAATCCTGTCCAGAAATGAAGCTAAACATTTCCATACACTGTACTATAGGATGGTCTTCAAACAAGCACATTGATGAAATCCAAGTCAAAAGAGGCTAGGTTTCCAAGGAATCATTTTCATAAATATTGTTTGGCCATTAGTACAACTTTGTGGACTGAAATAACCTGTGTGACTGACATGCTCTGCTGTGGAACAAAACCTGGTCACACATTGCTGACTCTTCTTATTAATATTATTTCATTATCAATATTCATTATGTAGAAATGAAGGGTAATTTGGTGTTCATGGTCCTTTTCCAACACAGAGAACTAAGGTAATTTACATCATATTGAGACAAAATAGGTATATATGTTGGTTGTTAACAACAGAAGTGTATACCCCATTGATAATTCATACTTATTTGTCATATTCTAATAGGCAATGTCTATAATACCATATTGGCACTAGCCTAACTGCATCACATGATTGGTCAAACACTAAAATTTCTGTTAATCTGTAAGAGATATGTCAGATTGGTTTAATAGCCTATGATAATTTTTGTCATTTTAACACTGGATAGACTGTTATAACGAAGGTCTATCTATTACAGACACGCCAGCATAGCTACGTCCAGTCATCATATTTGAAGTTAAAAGTGTCCATGTGTTTGTCTTTGGGTCGTAACATTCCACTGATCCTAGATTGGATGTCCCATCATCACCTCCTACAACAAACAGAAATCCTCCATTGGCCACCACACCTGAAAATAAAAAATATATGTAAACATCAGCATTTCCTTTCACTTTCTTAACATCTTGTATCAAATGTTGATGAGGTTTATTTTCATTTTCGTAGTACCCATGGTAGGTTGATTAGTAATAAAGCTTTAAATATAACACAAAAGTTTCGCAAAATCATTATAAAATGTTGAAAGGCATTTGATAAGTTGCATGCATTCAGTATTTTTAGTCATGTACCCAATACGTTCCTTTTTACTGCCAACACACCATAAAGTTAAAAGGCTGTTAAATTTCATAAACAAACAGTTGCCTACTGTCCCGCCACTAGCTGATTACACTTACAGTTTCACTTCAATACCAACAATGTTGCATCATGCGCCACAGGTGAACATGTGACCTGCATTCTTTGTAATTCTACCTTGTGTATATGTAGAGTTGCCAAAACCGATCAAAACAAATCAGAAAATTGATTTCATATGTTCAGCAGATATAACTGAACATTCATGCCAGTACAAATATGAATTAGATACATCCATTTTCAACATGAAACTCTAGCTGGGTCATGTCACAAGACTGTAATCAAAATGCATTTATAGTGATGATGCAAATTATTCTAAAATTTTGTTCGATTAATACATTTGCTAGAGGAGGTGCAAATACTAAACAAAATTCCTTACAGATATTTTTTACCAATACAAATATTTCAGGAAGGATTATGAAATTACCTGCATTTCGCCTGCATAAGTGCATGTCTGCTACTTGTACCCATGTGCTGGTTTCAGAGTTGAACATCTCAACACTTTTTCTGACGAGTGGACCATCATGTCCACCCACTGCATAAAGCAGACCGTCTACCACACCTACACCTAAAAGTGAAAGGTCAATGTGTCAAAGGTCAAAAGATTAATATTATCAATTCTAAATGTGATACCATTGTCAAAAAGAAAACAAAAGGCCTAGTAAAGATGGCCAATTGAATGCAGTTAGTTTACATATACACCTGAGTGCATGCATCTCAAAGCATGCATCTATGAAAATTATGTGACTCACATCAGGTAATGTCAAATTCAGCTACTAAATAATAATGCTAATTCTTTACTTACAGAAATTGCTTTTGTATGTCCAATGACTAAGGTAAAAAAACATACATACCTGGTAGATAACCCTATCCCCAACCCCCTTTTTCCTGCTATCCCCCTTTCTAGGTACATCATAATTCAAACACAACTGGTGTATGACATTGATCCCCAGACCCCTTTCTGAATATTATCAGCACCTGTCAATGTTAAACCCTCACTCAAGTTCCTCGTCCATGGTATCTCCCTCCCTGGGTACATCACAACTTACACACATGGTAAGTGTATGACCCTGATCCCCAAACCCCTTTCTGTGTATTATCAGCACCTGTCAATGTTAAACACTCACTCAAGTTCCTCGTCCGTGGTATCCCCCTCCTTGGGTACATCACAACTTACACACATGGTAAGTGTATGACCCCGATCCCCAAACCCCTTTCTGTGTATTATCAGCACCTGTCAATGTTAAACACTCACTCAAGTTCCTCGTCCGTGGTATCCCCCTCCTTGGGTACATCACAACTTACACACAGTAGATGTATGACCCTGATCCCCAGACCCCTTTCTGTGTATTATCAGCACCCGTCAATGTTAAACCCTCACTCAAGTTCCTCATCCGTGGTATCCCCCTCCCTGGGTACATCACAGATCCCTTTCTGTGTATCATTAGCACCTGTCTAATCATTTCTCCCTTCCTAGGTACATCACTTAAACAACACACACTAATCACGATGATTAGACATATTTAGCAGAGCCAGGGATGATTAATATCACTGAGTTGCAAATGAGATATATGGGACAGTCTGACCAATAATAATCAAACTGCCCAACACCACGGGGTTGGTTATTTAATAAGTATACCAGGAATCTAGTGCTTTTAAAGCTGCTAACAGTATTTTTCTATAGCATATCATTTTTTCCAGTTTTCAAGCAACCAAATGTAGGTACCTGCTCCGCTCCGATGACACGACATTTCCACAACAGTAGTCCAGGTATCCAGTTGAGGATTGTAACATTCCACAGATGACAGACATTGTCGGGAAGCCCCATCATATCCTCCAACTGCAAACAGTTGTCCTGAAAGAATGAAATGGGGACATTTGTGGACCTTAAAGAAACATATGTGTAATAACCTACATTAACTTGTCACCCCTGTACCGCTTTGTCCAACATATTAAAGCAAATGTTTAAGACTTTTTTAAAAATTATTCTTCTACAGATTTTCTCCCAAAAAGGGATAAAATGACAATATGTCGAATATGTTGCATTTATTATTTTGATATTGATACAGTTTAATGTAAATCACCAATCCTAAATCAAGTTCTTGTTTTTCTTTTGCAAAGGATATGTATTATTTGTCAGAACTTATCATTTTGGACTGTACTTTTATTTTAGGCATTTTCAATTTTTGTAGAATTTTTTGCATTGGTCAATCTCAATCTCAAAAGTGTAATAACATGGATAGGAAGTCTGATATTAGGATAGTACTTACACAATAATACAGTACACTTGAATTTTTTTTTTGTTTTTTTTTTTTTTTTTGAATTTTTTCATTTTCAATTTTGTTTGCTTAGACCACTGGCAAAAATTTCTCAATTTATATTATATCAAAAATTCACTATTTCTCAAAATGCAGCAAAAGTTAACAACTTTATTCCTTAAATTTTCACCATTCACTAAAATAATGACACACCTCCTAGGACCCCCACTCCCACACTGCTACGCCTTGTACTCATGTTAGCTATTGTTCGCCATTCTTCTGTCCGCACATCAAAGCACTCAGCAGTGTCCAATCCTGGAATTGGTTAAGAACACAAGTTTAACTAAGTCATAACATGTAACAAAAATCAATTGATCTCCTCATGTTTAGAAAAAGTAAAATAATGCTATAGGGTGCAGATCTCCAGCATAGCCATTCTATGAACCAGAAACTAACTTTCTCACCTGACAGATCTTATAACCTTAAATATATTGTTTACCTGTATGTGACTATAGAATAAGAAACCCCCCTCCCCTTTCCCTTGATTACGTGTAGTATACTGATGAGCAGTCAGGATAATCCTGGCAACATATTACATCTTGTATATCAGAATAAGCATACACCTTCAATTTGGTCTACTGAATGGGCTAGAAGTTCATGTAAGGTCATGAACTATAAAAAGACATTACTAAAATACTAGCATAACCACAACTTTGATTCCTGTTCTCAATGCTTGTAGATGCCAATATTACCTGAGGATCCATCAAATCCTCCAACAGCATAAATGACATTGTTTAAGACAGCAACACCCAATGTGCTACGTCGGGCCTCCATACTGGGACAGGATATCCAGACATCCTTAATGGGATCATACATGTCTACTGTACGTACTCTTAATGATCCATTAAAGCCACCAACAGCATACACCATACCATTGACAACAGCCACACCTAAAATTAGCACAGCAATCAGCAATGTGTGACACATTTTAGTACTTGTGCTTGCAATTACAGCCTTGTGGCCTTTCAGCAGACCAGTCAATATATTTTGATATGTTTCTTACATCAGTACCGGAGATTTAACACAGGATAAAGTAACAAAGAATCCAAATCGAGTTGTTCTGAAATATTTAGAAAGATATAATTGCAATTAACCGTGTTAAATTTCAAAATATTTTGTATTCAAAGAAAATTCTTGGTCAAACTTAAAATAGTTTCAACAGCTAGCTTATTTCAACAGAGATATAAGACCATGTTTATAAGGTACAGAAAGAAAATCTGAAAATATCAGATAAAACAGTGCTGAGTGTTTCTTTGATCTTTTATTTACTTGTAATCACAATATGTGTGTCTTTAGATATACTCACCACAGCGACATCTTCTTGAAGGCATCTCAGCCAGTGGGCTCCATTTGCCCTCTTTAAAGTCGTAAGATTCTACACTTTTGATAGCCTTTGGTGCTTGTCCTCCAATAACTAGTAGCACCTGTAATATCATCAAATGATTAGTAGCTTAGTGGTGGGCATTTAAATCATCAGTCAGAGTTAGGATTTTCAAGTCTTTTATGAAATATCTGAAAGGTGCTTAAAGTTTGATGTGTATTAAAAGCAAATTGGTTTACAAATTTTTACCTTGGGAAGCCCACGTGGGGTACGAGGCAGTGTTCTGGGTGATTTGTATGCAGCCTTCTGCTCTGAACGCAAGAGGTGGTATTTGAGTGCCTCTATGAGGAAATCTTTACATCGACTGCTGGTTTTGATGAGAGGTTCCTCATCCACTCGTTGTATTAAATATTCATGAGTTACTAATGGTAGACGCACATGCTCCAAGAGCTCAGCCAGAAAAGCTTCACGTGTGGCACAATTATGTTGGACCCACATCATTACCGCCTCATAAACCTGTACAACAGATTAATATACATGTATTTCTGAGAGAAAATATTTAACAATAGCAAAGCTATCAACACTCTGGGCAAATTCTTCACCTCTTGATGACAGTCACTAAAGGATAGGTTTTTTCAAACTAATACATGCATGACTATCACTGTACCACCAAATTTCAAGTAAAATTTAGGGCTTAGTTATAAGTAAGTTTGATTGGCTGTTGTATATTGCTGTTACCCAGTCATAATTCATGTTACATGTGCAGTTTGTTTATTATCTACATCATACATGCCTAGTAAAAACAGGTCCTTTAACAAATTGCTGATTATTCTAAATAAGAATTCTTTTGATGAAATCATAACTGACTGAGAACTTGGGGAGGAACACAGATTTAATCAAACAAATAGAAGAATTGAAATACTTTAAGCAATGATTGGAATGCCTGAAGCATAAGACTTACCATCGGTAAGTAATTTCAGTTTCTGGGCAAATTAATATACCTAATACCACTTTCATAGTCATGCAATATTTATATGTTAATTAAAACCTTTACACTCACTAACTTCCACATTACTTAATTCAACAGAAAAGTACTAACAACTAACTATAAATTTGACTTATTAGACATCCAGGTATACCACCATACTTCATTTTACAAACAACATCTTCATGTTTGCTTTTTAATTCTTGTTACCAAACAAAACAACAGACAGGCAGGAATAGACATGAATACTTTTAATCACTGTCTCCAATGAAAGTATGGAAGAATAGACAAAATTATTGTTCTGGTAAAGAGTTGTTACCTGTTCTTCAGAAGTGACAGTGAGACGGTCACTTGCAATCATCTTGGCAACTTCAGATGAGGGAAGGGACAGGAACTCGTCATGTTGTACCACGTCACTGTCAAACACAATGAAAAACAGGCTTTAAGGTATTTTTATTGTTTACTTCATCATAAAGAATAGCATAACAACAGCTCTTGTTAGCCAGTAATTGTGATATGTACAATGTGTTATTATAAGATACTGTATGAACACCAAGTGTTTGCTATAATTAGCTGTATGCACTATATCTACACAGTGTTGTTCTATGCAAATCTTCTATACTCACACAAAGAATTGTTTCAAATAGATCTATAGTATTTAAACAAAGTGTTGTTCTATGCAAATCTTCTATACTCACACAAAGAATTGTTTCAAATAGATCTATAGTATTTAAACAAAGTGTTGCTCTATGTAAATCTATTGTACTCACACAAAGTGTCGTTATATGTAAATCTACTGTACTCAAAGAGTTCTAAATAAATGTTCTGTACCCACACAAGTACATGTAAATCTACAATGTTCTATTCATGTACTCACATGTAGAGATCTATTGTACTCACACAAAGTGTTGTTCTATATAAATCTACTGCACTCTAACAAAGTGTTCTTCTAAATAAATGTGATATACTCACATAAATAGATGCAAATCTACTGTATTCACACAAGGCTGTTCTATGTAAATACATTGTGCTCACACAAAGTGTCGTTCTATATACTGTACTCACACAAAGTGTTGTTCTATGTAAGTTTGCGAGTACTGAAGTAGGTCAGGACAAGCGTGGAGGTCAGCAAATGCCCTGATGCCGATACAGTTACTGGGATGAAGCTGAGACTGGAGAAACTCACAACAGGCATCTCTAACCTCTGTCATCTGGAGGATGTTAGCCGCAGGCAACAACATCTGTACCAATACACACAAAATTATAAATTATCATTAATTATTAAAACATTATGATATACAAAAAATTAATTAATTTTTGGAAATTAAATAAATGTCAAATTTATTTTCAAATTTTGAATATACAAATATAGTTTTGATTGTTCACTTGTGGTTGCATTAACTGGAATAAATTTATTAAAATTCTCCATCATTGTATTATCCTGCAACAATCCTAGTAGGGCAAATTTACAAATTCTGACTTATAGTCAAGGGATGGGCTTATCACAGGACAATGAAGTACCAGTAGTATTTGTTTGTAAACCTACTATACAGTATAAGATAAAATTAAGCTGACTGACAGATAAATAAGATCATATTCAATCTTTGTTTAATCATTCACATTCTTAATTACCACTACATTTAGATGATAAAATAAAAAAGTTGAAAGATGGACAAATGCTGTGCCATGGCATAAGTCTATTAACCCTTTAGACATTTCGGCTGACAAAATCTGGAGCAAATGTTTTAATTGTGTAAATGATTTTAAGGGAATTGATGTAACAAAAATGTAATGGGTGATCAAAGATCATAAAGCACTTCCTGGAGAAAGCTGATGGCTGTTTATATAATTACCTGTACATTTTCTTCTGTTACATTCACTTCTGATGAATACATGAAATCAATGAGTTGAACAAGTGCTGCAGGATCTATTTCTTGTAAAGTGATGCGGTCTGATTTGGCCTCTGCCAGATCCCCAGTAAACATGGCATAAAAATACTGACTACAGGATGATAGAACTACTTTATGTGCCAGAATTTCTGTTGTGTCCGCAATCAATACCACATCACAAAGGAGATGTTCCCTGGAAAATCATCAATAACATACTTACATACACATGTATTATTTATTAACTTTCAACAAAATTCACTGTGAAATATACTTGTTTTCTTTTCCATTGATTCTTATGATGAACATGTCCTTAATTTTATTGTATTCTGTAGTGTTTATCACATCAAACCTTAAACATATAAGCGTGCAAATGGAAAATTTGAATAAACATGTAAATGTTCATAAAGTTAGAATAAAACCTTCTCATCTGGTTCAGGATTTCAAATGCCTTCTGGGTATGATGAGGATGTTTGTAGGCTGGTCTCTCTCGTGACAATAGATTCCTGGGGCGTACTGCCTCCAGTGTCGACATGGCGGCAGACAACTGCTGACTGAGGAATGATCACCAACTTTTACACAATCATGTCTTGAATTCAACTGAAATCAAACACACAAGGATCAATCTATGCAAGAATACATCCTATTCTGAAGAGGTAAACATCTTTGATAAATTTCTCATGAAACTCCACATGAATTAGCTGATTAAAATTTTACATTAAAAATACTTGGCAAGTGATTTTTGTTTCCAGAAGAAATTTGGAGTACTGTTTGTTTGAAATGACTGAGGAGAAATTTACTGATAGACAGTGAAGAAGTAAGCCTATACATGCATTTGTACCTAACACATATGAGAAGGTGCACCTAATGTGAGCTGAATTATTAATATATTTTTTTATAACATGCACACATTTACCAAACACCTAACTTTGATTTTTAGACAACTTTCGGATGAAAGTGTTGGGGAAATCTTAACTATCAGTTGATAGAACTTGTATAGAGTGCTGAAAAACTTGAGAATTATAATACAATTTTAATCTAAAGACAGTTGTGTATAGTTAAGAATTAAAGTCATCAAGATTAACTCCCACTTATTTCATTAACACGTTACAGACCCTAGCAGGTTACAGAACAGCAAGACCATGTTTCCAGTCTCTATGAAAACTTCACAAACATTTTAACAGTACACTGTACAGAGCAGTACATGAGTACAGTAGACAATGATAATTGTTATAGCACAGTTTCTAAATTCATTTCTAAATAATGTATGACTATTTACCGATTCCAAGATACAACAGCGATCTTGAGGACTCAGTTCATATCAAGGCAATCGTAACAGAAACCAGCACTACCTTGTCTCATTCTAGCAGAAAAATTGACTAAACTATCAATGTTTTCGTTCTTCTTCTTTGACACCGGAACCGGAAATGCATGGCAATGGTGTTTTCAGGAATGCGCGCATAGGCGATGATTTTTTTTTTTTTTTTTTACCTTTATTCACTGACGTAACATGTTTCTGATATTCAAGTAAACAACACGTGTTGATTTTCTATGGGACGTTCACAAGAATAGGTTAAAATGGATTTTTTCATTAAGGTTGTGACTCAATAAAAATTTAAGTTTCTTAACCCGATTCCCTTATAATCCGTTCGCAACCGTATACAGACAAAACTAGATAAGTGATTGTCCCGTATTCTCATTAAACTTCTCCGATGTAGAAATGGTTATAAATTGATGTAAGTGAATTTGGACGGGTCATGTATAATCAAGTCTATTTTAAGAAAAGCTCCGAAAGAAGAATATTTCAAACTTTTTTTTTTGTTTTCTGTTAAACTTATTACTGTAAAAGTGACAATAAAAAAGACAGAAAAATATTTCTCACTGAAAAAGCAAGTATCAACATGCATAAAGGAACCAAATGTCAAAATGTAACATGTATAGATACCCGATGGGGTTGCCAGGGCTGCATCACCAGCAGCAGCGCTGACCAAACCCATATGTCACAAACACTATCATAGATAAGGAAAGTTTTCCTGTCTAGCTTACAATGACATAGGTCACAACAGTTTATGCATTTGTATATTAAAACAAATATTGATAAATATGATATTTTTGATATTTCACATCTTAGTAATTTTGAAACCTGAAGCTTATTGCCTATCTCAGTAAGCACTTAATTAATTTGATGACCAACTATGTAAGAATAGACACCAACAAGTTTAGATTGGTGCAAAACTAATATCAGTTCAATGGTAGATATAGCTAGAGATAATTAAAGGTTTACCACAAGTGTCTATATTGTCTGGGAACTTTCTGGAAAAGAAAACATGTTTCCATATAAGTATAAATGATATTGATTTAATTATTGGCACTTTGGTGCCAAAGACATTTAGAGTTTCACCAACAAATTCCAAGGCTGTTGACTCTGTTTCAACCCTGGTAAATACTCGCCGCAATAGACTAATCGGTGGTCTTGATGCTCAAATCAAAGTTAAATGCATGGAAATTAATATTGATCTAGTTATACTCCCATCATGAGCACAGTGAAAGGTCATCCACTGACAGGTGGTCTATTATCAGATGTTTTGAATAATTATTTTATAAGAGTAATAGGGTGGAACACTCGGATTCAGTACATCATATGTTTGATCTGATGGCGTCAACAGCTCATGAAGCAGTCTCTTTAGAAATAGATGTGACTTTAGCTGCAATGGTAACCTTCGAGAAGGGATATTTCTTTGTGATGGAAAAGAATACACCTACAGAAATTGTTCTAGTTGGGAGAGAAAGAAGAAGAGAAGAGGAGGAGAAATTAGGAGGAAACTTTTTAATAGAAACTTAATTTTTCAAGGTTTAAGGTTACAAGGGACAATGGATTCAAAAACACTGCCATTGCTAAGTTTGAAACTAAAATTACCTTTAGAAACCCAGAAAGGTTTCATCCAGCAAAATCTGTCTGTGACCGAGACCTAGTATGTGTGAGGATCGGACTCTAGTTTTGGTTTTGTCCAGTGAAATCTCTCTCTGACATTGTTTAAGTGTCATTTCACATTGTCTAATATTCTATCAACTTTTATGGTGACAACAATTATCTTCACAAGGTCAACAGAATGTCCAAATGTATTCTGATTCTCGTGTAAACAGGTACAAGTTGCCAACGAGCTTTGATTGTCTACTTGATCCAAAACAATACCTATTCACTTAATACAATTGTTCACATGAACTTTGTCTGTTGTTTGATGTGTAGTTTACTTGTAGTGGTCATTTGCCACCTCGCTGAACAATCAGAGTAAAGTGTCTTGTCCAAGGATACAACCAAGAAAGCACACACAGATCTACTTCTTAGCTTCCCTAGTAACACAAACTGCCACCGTTCTTAGGAAGCGTCGAACTACACAGGCTGGGCACTATGAAAAAAAGTGTTATATAAATCTCATATGGAATAGGAACTTATATCAGACATTTGATCATGGATAAGCTTCAAACATTTACTTAAAGTAGTGATCCTAAGTCTGGGGTTGATTCCTTTAAATCAACATGAAGCTGTACTTCACTAACGTGTTTTGATAGGTGTTGATCCTGATATTTGGACGACAGGTTGATATTAATACAAAAAATATATAAGTAATTATAAATTACATTTCAGATGCAGGTCTGACATGTGCTGGAGTCCTATGAGATTCAATTATTGGACCCTCTCTCTAATCTATATAAGTGACATCACTGAAGTGCTATATAATCTACCATACATCTCTTTGCTGATTCTTTGTGTCTAAATGTAGAAACAGTTACAAATAAGGACTTGTAAACATTTTAATACAATGCTATTGTAAGGTCTTTTTGATACTATGTTGTCATGTCATTTGATGCAATGTTGTCATGATGTCATTTTGATACATCATTGTCAGTTTTATACGTTGTCAAAATGTCATTATAATTTAAAGTTCTCATGTCATTTTAACACAATGTTTTCATAAAGGTCATATTGCTACAATGATGTCATGATGTCACTTTTATATAGTCCGGTAATGTTGTCACTATGTCATTTTGAAACAAAGTTATCATTTTGATGCATTGTTGTCAAGATGTTATTTTGATACAATGTTTCCACAACGTTGTTTGTTGCATTGTTGTCAGAATGTAATTTTAATACAATGCTGTTATAAAGACATTTTGATATAATGTTGTCATGATGTCAATTTGATACAATGTCATCATGTCATACTGTTCTTTCTTTCTTGGTATATCGTCACAATGTTGCATTGTTGTCCAGTCAAATTTTATAATGTTGCCATAATGGTGCATCATCGATGTTGAAAAAAAATATAAATACTATATTTATTCCAAGCAATTTAGTTGAAATGTTGCCATGCCATATCTCTACTACGTTACACATGTACTGTATGTTTTTCATATTATAAGGAAAATAATACCTGCAAGCATTTTGTAATAAGAAATTACTTTATTAGAACAGTTTTATTTACAACAATCACATGCTTTAAAAGAAACTACACATTTTCTTCACTTAGCATGGATTCAAATACAGACAATTAGGACCCAAAAAAATTTCTTCATATCCTGTTATAACTTGTCCTTATATATCATATTATCAATGATCAAACTGTATTTCTTGTCTTCATTTCTATGACTGACTAACACAACACATTACAGCAACAATGTTTTAACATACAAAAATAATATGACATGTTAAATTAAATAATTAATCCCTAATAGGTTACATGTGATATTCATGAATCGGATTCACTGAATTTCATCAAAACAAGCAACATCTTTCCATTGAGAATTCTTCTGTTAATCTTTTCATCATATCATTTACTTAGCTAAGAAAAATTGCAACCAAACCTTTTAATCACCATATACCAATAATTGGTTGTAACTTGTGGTATAACCAGCATTGCCTATGGGATTACTTCTTGATTTATATTATAATGTAATAGCATTCAGTAGGAAAAAGGGAAACAAGCATATACTAATAATAACATTTAAATACACCAGAATTTAAGAACATTTATGATTCTGTTTTACAATTTAGTCATTGATGCTAGCTACTTATAAAGCTCCTTCAACAAACTTTCAATGTGGTATGAGAAAAAATACTAGAAATCTATTCTAATTTCTTAACTGTTGTAAAATTTATATTTACATGTTTATTTCTGGTTACACATTGCTGTTTAGAAATTTATGGTAAAGATATTAAAGCTAGATAATGACATACAAAGCTCTAAAAAACAATTTCAAATCCTATTGCATTTCCATTGATAGATATTCTATGATTTACAAGAGTAACAAATCATTATGAAAACTTATTATCTCGCCAAACAGAAATTTACAAACACATTTTTTAATTAAATGGCTTTATAACTGGCATCACTTTTAAAGTGGTTACTCTATGCCTGGACAGGGTAAATCCACAAATAACTGACATAGGAGTCAGTTCATAGGGTTTTTTTCACATTGTGTATCGATATAAAGTTAAACAGCAATGAAGATGTATATTGTTCCGGAAGTTTTTATAGAGTGTCACTATCGTAAAATTCTGCTAGGAAACCATCTTTCTTTCTCTCTTGATGAGCATAGAATCCTATTTTTATTCACAATGAACTGGGTATTCAATATTGAAAAAAATCATTTTAACTAATGACACATTTTCCAGCCAAGCCACCCATACATCACAAAACATCAAAAGCTCACAAAAATCTTCTGATTCAGATATGTACAATATATCAACAAAGAGATATTAATACTTTAGCTTGGGTAATTACAATTTGCAATGAAGAGCACCTTGACATTGTTCCAGAAATTCATTGAAAACAACATATGACATAGGTTTTAAGAAATATTTGTAACATAGCATGAAGCACTTCAAAATACCATTAACCAAAAACAGACTTATGGGATTATGCTAAATTTAAATATGTTGTACAGATTTGACAAGTCTTTGGAATACTTTGGGATTTACAAAGAAGTGTACAATCAGACTTTTTAAGGGGTGGATTGGTATGAGCACTTTGGTCCCTTCTTGATTACTGATTTCTGATTATATATATTGTAAAGTTTTTTGTGAACAAATACAAAACAGTTACAATATGCACAATATACAACAAAATATATCATTAACATAATGCCCTTGCACGAGTCTGCATTATTCTATCAGTTTGGCAGTATAAATACATTCAATATAGCATCAGCCAAAAAGTCTCAGAAGTGTCATATTCCAGATTGATATAGGTGTGCATGTGTATAATTACATCTGCTGATGATTACATGGTAATCTGTTGAACTGGGTATTTATAGACCATTTAACGTGAATCGTCTTTTTGAGCAGAACAAAATAATTAGCTATTTACCAAGTTATAACAAAATTCTGTAAAATGGAGTCTTGCAATTTTTTTTTTACCAAAAATCTTTACTTTTGTTCACTTATGGAATTACTTACATAAATATCAGAAATATCTACAATGACAGGATCGTTTTGTACTGTAGTTTTAAACATCCCTGTCCTAATACTAGTAAATAATTTTCTCTGAAAATTAGCTGTCAAGTCTGAGCTTTCATATGACAATGAAAGCAAAGAGCATCATTACAGTAAAATAACTTACAAACTGTTAAAGCAGTTCATGAATAAATCTCTCATCCTGGAATTGTGCTTGAAATGAAATTGAAATATTTCAAGAAATAAATCTTCATGGTTTAAATTCTATTTCAAAAGAAACAATATTTTCTCAATCTAATCCATGACAGAATGCCATTTTATATCACCTCACGAAAAAATGTGACAATTCAATGTTTCTCACAGCTGACAAACCCATCAAGCAAAAATGCTAAGGATTTGGTTTAATAACTATTTCATTAAATCATGCAGAATTAAAGTCAATATGGCAGTTGTTAACTTTAAGTGAAACTCTATTGTTTAAACTGGAATCACACAGTTTTTTTCTTTCAAGAGCAAGTGCTAAATATTTTGTAGCTGATTCACTTGTCACTGCCTTTCTTGGTAGGTGTGTGACTGGGCGTGGTCTCTCCAGTCTTCTTCATACTGGCAAAGTACATTTCCAGTGGCTTGTTTACGCGCCAGTATTTTTCATTGACCTGGTCCAGGGTCATGACTCCACTCAGTAATGTGTAACATCCTGGTGTACTAGCTATGTGGATGCTGTATCTTGTATCACTACTGGCACCACCTGGAAACAACCAGAAGAAATGTAAAACTAGCCATATATCATGTCATCATTTCATATTGGCAGTGATTAAGGTTTAAGTTCTGCAATCACAAGGTTAAATTTTGGATTCAGATCTGTTTTCAAATACTGTTTGTAATATCTTTAATCACTAATAATTATTGAATTTTCACACATCTGTCCTCTTTCAGCATGAATGTCACTCAGAAGTTCTAATTCCAACTTGACAGCCTTTTGGCTTAACAAGCCAAGACAATTAACACAGGCTTTCTGGCTCTTGAAGAGTTATTTGAATATTTTCACATCATTTCAATTCAAATTTTTGAAATTTGCAAAAACATAAACTTACATTGGTTTTGAAAGTTTGATGAGTACAAGATATACAATGTAAGATAATTACTTTTCCTCTGTATACAAAAATGAAGAACTTGAATGACACACATTTCAATCTAAAAACTCCATAATATGTATACATATTTCAAACATGCACTGAAAGCGACATAAAACTACTTGAACATATCCTGTAATTTGTGCAATAAGTTGCTAACTACTTTAAACAAGGGAAGGAACTCTGATGAGAATGACCATCCTAAATTACATAACATATCACTTGTGAAAAACCCTCATCAAGATAAGCATTAGATATTATTCTTACCGCCATCTGCCTTTTGTGATTCCAGGGAGAGTCTGATGGCAAGATATTTTGACAAATGATCCACTGAAAAGAAAGAAAGGATTTCGAATTAGACAATTAATTAACTATTTTGTTTTACGCACATATTATACAAGTACCTGATAAACTGGTGTAATTAAGACTTACATCAATAGTTATAAGATAACAGAAATATCACGAATAATATACAGAGCTATATAAAAATCAAATTTGAATGGTCATATTGTGATTTCTTTTTTTGCCAAAATAAATACCATACATCCCCTTTATCTATTTCTGTTCCTCAATTTCAGTTGCTCAGAAATGCTGACTTAATACTGCTTGTCCTGTAATATTGCGCTCCCTACCCCTTCGGGTCCAAGTTTACATCTTGGGTCCTACTTTCATCATAGGACACCATAAATGAAATCAAAAGAGAATGTGATATAGCACCTGAAGCATTGGCAGTCGTCTTGATATATCTTGTCTGCGAGGCATCAAAGTTGGCTGCTTGAGACTCAGAGTCGATAGGTAAAGGCCTGAACACTAATTCAATGTCACTAACTGGTACTTCTCTCTCAACAGGCTCTATAGGATGCCCTAGTTCTGAACCACCCTCTCCCACTGAATTCTCAGTACTAGAGTCATCCGAATATGGTTTGGGCCTCTTCTTAGGAGTTGCATCATTAGATGTAGTGCTGGCTGTCTCCAGACGGGAAAGGTCTGGTTCTGTAGCATGTTTACGTACTCTTTGAGCCCTATTCATAGCTTGTAATCTCAGTCCCTCTTCAATGCTAAAGTAAAGGAGAAATAATACAATTTTAACAAAATCCACATATATATTAAGATACATAAAAGAAGCCGCTAAGTGTGTCTTACTGAATGCCTCAAATGCTGAATATGACCTATATTTCACATTTGAACGACATGGTTTTATAATGACACATAGCCGGGAGCTACTTGATTCCATCTTTTTGCAATTGTCTACTATACATGATACAGTTGAAGTATATTTTCTCAATAAAAAAGAATTCATGTCTGTATCTTTGAATATATCAGGTAAGCAATAAAACTTGACCCAATCTATAGAAACAGTCTTGTTTTTTACTTAAAATGATAAAATGATCATCTTAATCTTAGTCAATTACTTGTTTAAAATAAGTTGTTATCTATTTTCATATTTCATAACAGATTAACTATACACCACTAAATCAATCAGTATTATAGTCGATGTGATCAGCTGGTTACATTTCAACATTCAACCTTACAACATTGTATGTATATCTATTTAATACCTGTGAGTCAACGCAGCAGTACTGTGCTGTTTGTTAAGTTTTGCAAGTACCCTCTCTTGGTGCGCTTCATATTCGTCTCGACTAGGATATATTTTGGAAATAAGCGCATCGAAGTTGGGGTCAGGCCTCAAAGAACGTTTAGACACGAGTTTCTTTCTGCAAGTTGGACACTCTTTGTTGCCACTCCGAAGGGCTGTGATGATACAGTCTTGACAAAAACGATGAAGACACTCTTTTGTTGTCATCGTGTTTTTAAGCATATCTAGACAAATTGGACACATTAGTTCACTGTGCAGACTCCTGGGAGATACAGCTATCTCTGTAGAATCAGTAATCGCCTCCTGTGGTGTCCTGTGAAGCTCGTATAGACTCAATTCCCATGTTTTGTTTGGTGCGTGAGTGATCTCGTTCGCCATTTTGATTATCAATTTAACAGCGGAAGTGCCTTTCAACGCATGATCACACGAGTGAGACGGAGAGACAGGTGAGTTACTTCCCTTAGACCATATGCTAGCTTACTGGTAATAGCGATAAGTTTATCAAGAAGACATGTATCAGGCAGGTAGTATGGGATATCACTTTCAATCTGGATAGGAACAGAATATCAATTTATGAAAATTGAATAATTTTGCGTTTTCAAGATTTTTAAATGCAGCAGACGGATGACTTAAAAAAGTGTCATCATTGTCATCAAAAAAGTTTTGCGATCCACTGAATCTCCGTAATACTGTTAAAATTATTTCGCTAATTTGAGTTAGGCAAAGTAACTTGCGTTACAGCTGTACAAAGTGCAAATTTTCAAACGCGTTCAGTGAAAGAAGGACATCCCCTGTACCTAATGCTTCACGCACTGTTAAAGAAGGACATGGACATTATCGGACCGTGAGATAGTGGTTCAAATATCCATTGGTATTCCGTGGTGGACCCGTAGTACTCTCTTAATATATTTTTCTGAATATCTTTTCTTCCTTTAGCTTTTTGTCTCTTGTTTTAATTCCCCTTCACATTTCGCATTTTGCTTAAACTCATTTTAGATGCAGGGCGGAGAAGTGAGTTGTGAGTTCATCTCTAAGGAAAATTATTGTCGACAAACCACTTTTTTAAACGGATAATTCTGTGTGGATTAGACATCATTAAAAACTTTAAGAGTCCACGATAAAACGTTCTGAGGTGGAAACCAAAAGACAGAATAACAAAAACAGCAAATCAATACTTCTTATCAGAAAAGTTATAATTCATACGTTGTTGAGTTTCTGTAGGTGACCAGTTTGGTTATTTGTTACAAAATCCTCTTAGCTCACTGACTACATGTATAGAAAAACTTAGTGTAATGTTGAACAGTAATGTATAATGTATGACGGAAATTCAGTCCAATACTGTCCCTCATTACACGCGTCTGGTTTTCTTAATACTGAATACATTGATAATGCTAAAACTATCAATGCGATCTGCCACCTGATATCTATTCACAATTAAAGGACGTGAAACCAAGTGATTGATGAAGTTAAACTAAATACATTATATTTAATATTTATGCACCACAGTCGTTGTTGCGTACATATAGACTTTGATTGAAATCGAACAACTGTTCATAACGGAAACAAATGCGCGAAAGAGGGACAAGTCGAAATTCTATCCAGTAAAACCAGTTTTTGTTACTCAGAGGTCTCCGAGTGATCTTGGCTTCCATCATTGTATGATCTTTTCCGTTCTTCCTCTTCTTTCGAATAGATATAAAAAATCAAATCGGCACAAATAGGGACCTATGGAATATGAGAATGCTCATTCCAGAACTGCTCAAGACAGCAATATATATGAAAACAATATATATAAATGAAAAAAAATGCGATAACAAACTTCAACTGTTGAAATCCAAGATGACTGTCTGGCCGCCATTTCATTTTTCGGATCAGTCCGATAAATGAGTCGACACTACTTGAGACCAAGGGAACTGACTATACATATAAAATTTCAGATAGATCCATTCAATACTGCGATAAACTTCAAATTTTTAAATATCAGTTATAGCGTTGGCAAACCGTAATACCAGGTGATGACCCGACGCTCTCCATACGCTGCAGCTTCTGTTTCTCAGGAAGCTGTGACAGGATCGGTCTGTGCTTACGTTTTTGTGTCCAAGGGCAAGACACTTTACTCTAAATACTCTGGATGGCATGCTTCGAGTCTCCCGTATCTTAATCATCGAGGAGCTATCGTGTACTGGAAGACCCTAAGGGGTAACAAACACAACAGGAACACAGGACAGACGGACAGACAACGGGCGTTTTGAACTGCCCACTGATGATGGTGGGCTAATAAATGTTAAATATTATTATTTATCATTGCCTTTTGCATAGCGCATGTCCAACGTATGCGTCATGCCAAATAATGTTGAAATCATTTCGGTCAGTTCATGTTCGTTTCCTTTTTAAGACAACAGAAAAAATATAACATTTGATCTCTCTGACCTATGGCCTATTTCGATTGAAAGACTTTTCGCTGGACTTTATAAACAACGCTGCTTTAAAATGCCGGAAAAAACGTTTGCTTGTTCATTCAAATAATTTCTGGCCCGTGATTAATTTGGTGACTTCCACTTTACAGTCTCGATAGTGGACGTAAAACCAGTTTAAAATTATATAAATTTGCAGAATGACTTTATATTTATTCCCGACCTGTAAAATGGTTGTTTCTAACTTTGCTCCTCGGTGACTTAATTTTCTACTTAGATTGTGCTTCTGGATTTATTAATCTTCAAATCATATATTCAAAAATGCAATGAATGTATGGTTTGTTCAAAATACGACTTCAACCGACGTCTGTAGGGCGATTATCGCCACTCAACTATTGATGCTCTGTAAACCTGTTTGTTGTCTTATACGATCACTGTCAAAGATCAAGCAGAGGTTGAAGAGAACATTTAAATATACGACACACTGCATATCTACATGTTATGTTGTACATAGTTCCAATTTTGACGTCCATACGAATGACCGGGATGCTCCGCAAACCGTCAATGTCAAAGGTCAAGTAAAGGTCGTAATTACCAAAATAAGGTGCGCCACACATTTTACGCGGTACCTTTTCCAGAGGTTTTGATGTCAATGAAACAGTAGCTAAGAAAGGCTTCAGAAACCTGCATTTCGCCGTTTATTTGATTTTATTCTTTTACAAACTTCGGTGAAGTAGAGGATGCAGCGACTTGTTTTGTTATGAGACACAATGCGTTATTTCCCAACTTAAATCTCTGTAGACAGACCTTGTCAGCAGTGTGTAGGATGGATTCATGCACATGCACAAGGCTATAATATATAACCTTGCTTCAATTAAGTTGTGTAAAAGGTTTATATGATCAAATAATTATTGTCTACCAGTTTTTTGGGGGTCATCATTTTTGTTTTCATTATAATCACAAACAAATTCAAGGCTGATATTAATGGTAACACTGTAAATATTTATTAAGTATAAAAAAGATCTTGGTGGTAGAGAAAAATTATGTGAAGGGCAATATAAGAGTCTCGACTCAAGCACAAGACCTTAAATTGGAACAACACCTAAAACTGCCAAAATTGTGAGAATGCAGAAAACTATTTCTTTATTCACTGCCTGGTTTTTCACCAAATCAGTAAATAAAGAAATGTTTCAATACTAAATCTAACTATAAATTGAGTGTACAATGTCAACATTTTTTTGTTATTAGTAGTATATGAATTGATAAAGAAAAAAAAATTCTATTGGTTGCAACTACAGCAACTTTTGGTTTCACAACATTTTACAATATATCATCTGTGCATAATTCATAATAACAGATGACATAAATACATATGAAAATTTGGGGATATCGCCAACATCGTACACCCATTAGAATTTTGAAATATGTTATATATTTTTTTTTTCAATCTTGTACACATTCAAAACAGATGCTACCATAAAACAGCAAGAGCTCACCATACACCACTGTTGCAGCTTGTTTAAAAGAATCATCAGGGTCATAACACACAAACATTTGAGACATGGGTTTTCCAATAATTTACAATGATATGACAGTCATTGTGCTACTAAAAGACAACCTATATACTTCCAATGTTTGATTTTTTTCCCAAATTACTAACATGTGCCATAACAGCATATCCCTGACCAAGATCCCATCATTTACAGGACAACACAACAAAACCAGACAAGATAAGCAGCTTTTTATCATCAAACATTTCATTCAAACTTCAATGTTTATCGACAGTAATAATTGAAATGTCAAATTTTGGAATTCTAACATTTACTAATGTTCAACCCAACTTCTGCAACATTTTTCTTCCCTATATAATAAATCTATGATGTAGTTTGTTTACATGTACTATTAATGAAGGGACTTTTTAGGTTTGAAATATCACTTGAAACCATATAATAATCACAGCTCAATACACATGAATTTGATATTTCAACAGATCAATTTTCTTAGCTCATGCTTTGTGTTGCCATTATGGAATGCCAGCAACTGTGTTTAAGAGGTGCATAAGCTTGTTCTAAAAACAACAGTGATGGCAATGAAAGAATGAAGAAAAAACAAATACATGTACAACATAGGATTTCATAATTTAAACTACATGCATGTTAACATGAAAGGTTCTTTATCAACATTTTAACTTATAAACACATATACAAAAGAACTAATCATATGCCATCAACATCTCATTTCACATTGCAAGATTTCAGTAGGCCTAGTGCACTTTGATCATACCAATTTTGTTTTCAAATGACTTAAGCCTAAAGCACATGCAAACAGCTGTTTTCTATTGGACTGGCATCTGAATTCTTCAGTAGTATACAGCAAGTCTTCTTGTAATCGGAAATAAAATGTAAATCCGAAGCAAAACTTGTGAGCTTTACCAACATTTTGAAAATACAACATTTTGAATACCAAGACTAATAAAATATGTCATATATTAACAAAAGAGATTTTTTAAAAACAAAATTTAATAAATAGTTTCATAAATGATGATCAGGTGGACCAATAATTACTTCAATAACATACTCATATCTTCATATTAACATGGATGAAATATGCATTACATCATTACAGAATGAGTATTAAAAAGAGGAACAATATTGAATCTTCATTGAACTTGAATGTGCTAAGGACAGGAACTATTAAACTGAAAACAGTACAATCAAAGGATTTGCTCAAATCTTATATGCTTGCTATATTACAAAATCATACTAGCACAGATGCATGGAGAACTCCTATACACTAGATCAGTGAACAGATTTAAGGATCCAAACTACATGTATATTCCTCTTTTACAGAACATTCAGCATAAATACCAACACTTATTGCACACTCAATATTTCTATCATCATTCAACTCTGTTACGCCTCAGGCAAATTAGCATTACTGTACATGGGATGTCTGCAATTACCTAAACAGAGGATAAAGAGATATGTTTTATTGTAGACCTGTCACGCAGACTCCTTGTGTACATTGTATTTATTGGATTTGAAAAAAGCGCCATTATTTTTTACCTGTACTCTAATAGTGTTTGAGAAAATTTCAAATAAATGTTTTTTTTTATTGTATTGAAACATTCAATCATGACTGAGAACATACAATATTTTTAACAATGATGAAATATTAAATGAAAGAATTTCAGCACATATTTATGTTAAAAAGAAGTTACTTCTCAGTTCACTTCAGTTTAAATCCTTCTGTAAAAAGACTGAAATTTTGCTGCTTTGGTGCATGAAACCTAGCACCAAACATGCCTGAAAAATCTTTTCTCTGAAATTTTATACCAGTGCTTTGCTTTATATTTTTAGCAGGATTTTTTGTACCCTTTCAACATTTCTCCTTCAACAAAACCAGACCTTTTACTTAAACAGATGTGGTACAGACTAAGATAAACTGTTTTAGTCAACAATTTGTACAAAGATGACCTATCATATATATCATGTATCCGGGAATGATTTGAATAACTTAGACAATGCTTTAAAATAAATGCAGTTACAATTGTAACTTAATTAGCACAATTCTAATGGTTCATTTTCAACACACTACAGATGTACAAATCTTAAAAGTACCAACTGTACAGTTTTAATACAAAGCAACGGTAAGACTATATGGCATTGTTCACCAGTAGTCGTAGCACTACAATATTACTGAATTTGAGCAAGGCATATCACCGATGTGGCAAAAGGATAGAACTCCTCGATCATTTAATACTAGTCCAGTATGTACCAGTAACACCTAATCAATAAATAAGATTTTTTATTTATTGTCCAAGCTGTCAATGAATACCACTTACTTTGATTCTATGAAAGATTAACAGGCACACTGATATTCCAGTGTGAACCAGTCTGAATGTCTGATATGTTAGGGTGTATCTGGAAATTTTGGTAAGACAAAAGGAAATAAATGAAATTTCCTAATCAGTCTATTAATTCCTTGAAAACTTTTGCACACATGTTCATTGGCACGTAAATGTGCAAGTACATATGTATAAATATTTGTTCATTTTTAATTTTTCAGTCATTTGTTAGGTTTTCTAACCATTGGCTGAGAGTAGTGTCATCAAAGAGATTCAGAGTGAACCTGAAAGACATTTGGTTTAACTCAAGTTCCTACAATTATCGACACTATTAAACATTGTGAAATCTGTTTTTGATGTTCTTCCATCCACATTTGTTAATGAATGGAATCAGAACTAGTTGTTGAAACCAAACTATACAATATCATACCCTGGTAAAATTACAAGTACCAAAAGCCAATCGGATGTACATACTGTAATACTTGGTTGCAAGTATTCCATATATATTAGTTCACACACACAAACATTTTGTGAGATACTATTTTTAAAATTTGCCTAAGCAAAAAAACACCCAGACACAAATATATTATTTTTAAATTAATAACATAAACAACAAAAGAAATTTAACTAAAATGTAACTTTAAATGGAAAATTATGATGACAACATCACATTCTAGAAGATGGATACCTCTTACTATAAAATAATTCAAGCACTCACTGGGAATAGAAAACAATATTTTATACAATTAGGATAAGCATATTTAAATTGGGAGGAGAATTTCATGGAAACTTAAAATCTGTATATCACTGGCAGGGGGTATACACCACCAGAATTATCATGGATCAACATGAGAAAGTCAACAACAGAAGTAACAACAATCCTGATGAAGCAGATTTATCCTCCATATCAAGTGGAGGTTACTTTGAATAAATATCTCAAGAAAGAGCTATTATTTGTTCAATAACAATGCAGATCTCAAGATCTTCATCTCGATATATTTTAAATATATCATTTGGGTCTATTTTCCCAATCACCAGCATCACATGCATCATCTGCCATTAAAATGACACATCTCTTCCAGGTGAACTCCTCTACAGGTACTAACATCACAAACTTACACTTTTCTAACTTGTGGCAACACCATCTGTGCCTTTATAGATCATCTTCTTTATCTTCACAGCAGGATTAGTATTGATCTCACAGCCATATGTTTATTCCATAGCTCCATGCTTCACAGTTGTGTCCTAACAACCCCAATATTGTATTTCCATTGCAGCACCAGCTGAACCATACTGGACTGATGTGGAGAGTAGGAACTGTTGCGACACAGAGGGTAATGCCTTGGTTAGCCTTTTGTGGGCAATCAGCCTGGATAACAAACTTTTCATATGGCTTGTGATAATGTGCTGTCTTTTGTTCCACATGAAGTTCTTTCTGATCAGACTGCACCTGCACACTACACTTCTAGCAAAAAGCTGGCCATCTTCATGTCTCTAAACAAGTTTTCATGATCCGACTTAGAAGAGACACTTCTCCACATTTGACTAGATACCTTTGTCAGGAAATGACAGAAAGCGCAGGGTTGTCATATACATGTATATATAGTATGTGTATAGTGTATGCATTTAGATGATTTTCTATGTCATGATGAATCAGGGTTAATGCCAGCTGCTGATAGAGCAGCAGACATCATTTCACTTCCTACAAATAATCAAAATATCAGAACATGCTCTCTTCATGGTTTCACCTTGACAGAATCTATCTGCTGCCAAGGTCAGGAGGGCCAGCTTTGTGCCAGAGATGCATATGCTTCCACCTACACAGCATGATCTGACAATTGTAATAAGTTTGTTTCAGGGTCACGTATGAACAGAGACCAGCTCCACAGAGTATCACATTGTCAGAACTTTAGCTTTTATGAGAATTGTTGACTGCGTCTTTACGTGGTGGCATCCTCTCGTTCATTTTGTCCAAACATTTTGCTTCATCAAAGCCGCTGATCTTATGAGAAGGTGAGAAACCACTAAGAGCTGAAAGAAAAGAACACACAACATCATTCATATTGAATCATTCGACTTTAAAAAACAGTAGAGTAGTAACATCCAGGTTATTTTGAAAGCAATGGATTATTGTGAATCTTTGTCTTATGAAGCAAGCATTATCAAGTCTCATATTTGCTGTAATCTCTTATCTAACCCAAAACCTCAGAACAGTACCGTTGACTACATCATAGTAATTAATCTGAAGGAACATTAAACATTTTGAACTTCCTAACAAAAGAGTACAAGGTTCAGAATACCCCAAGGCTTCAAGACCAATGAAGCATTTACTAGCCATTTAGTTGACAAGCATTTTTTTGAAGAAATGCGTGTCCATTGGGAAAAAAAAGTAGGTAGTTACTAGTTAGATGCCACATAGCAGAGATCCAGTGTGGTCACTTTAAATTTCTGTCAAGGTTGTGCCCAATATAATGTTAATCAAATATGGTGGGAAATATTGTGCCCTCTGGCAAGAACAAACTTCTCATTGATTCACACACAAAGGGGCTCCCAAAAGAGGCTTCCAAACGGGACTTCATGAATAGTATTTCACCTAATGCAGAAGAAAAGTGCAAGAAACTATTATGTTCTGACCAGAATCATGGGTTTAGTGTGTCTGTTTTGTACGAGATGAGCTTATGACACAATGAGAAATAAACAGAACTAAACTGTCCCTTTTAGAAAACATCCTTGACCTTAAATAAATATTCAAACTACTAATGAGCGAACTTTCAGCAAATCTGTCCACGTATATGACCACAGGAGTGCTTACAAGTGCTGCTTTATCAAACTATGTCATAATATAAGGTCACTAGAATGACAGAGTATGATGGTGAAATTTACTTAATGGTCTTGTCATTAATATTCCAGATTTCACTTTATACTGATGCATACCACTTGTCAACGTATCCTTTCCTCCTGACAGTGCTCCCAAGGGAAGAAGTCCATTTGGAGTTAGACCCTTCAGCTGTAATACACTTTCACTTTCCTCTCTGTCAAACACAAAACAAACAATTGTGATGTTCTACACTTGATATTAACAGATTTGCTGAATATCAAAGAAATGCAGTAATCAGTATATGCTTGTTCTTTGACAATTTCTTCCATTTATGTTGAATCAATTTGCAGAGAAGTTATTAAAAGCAAACCTTTCAATGTGGAAAGACAATGAAGACAATGAAAAGAACCCAAAATGTCTTTAATTCAAAGCTTTCTAGGATATTCAAGCTCTCATTGTTCCCAATACGACAAACAATTCCATTTTATTCATCTAAAAAAAAAGTATCTTGAAAATTGAAATCAAAGTAAGATCAGAAGACTAGTGAACAAATCCTATTTTAATTACTGAATCCAGACTTCTTTTTAACATGCAACACTTTTCTCAAATATGCAACTCTTCTCACTCAGTATGCTCCATACAACAGAATTGGTGCAGCAACTATCAGTAGTGGAGTTACCAAACATATTTCTATAGAACAGCTGACTTACCTAAGGACAGTGAAGACTCTTGCCATTTTGCCAATGGCCCTGATTTTGTTCTTGATCACCTCCTTTCTTGAAGCAGCTCCATCTGGAATGAAATCATACAGACTCTTGAGGAAAAAACACAAGCCCCCAATCCCAATCATACCTACGTGAAGACCCTAGCCATTCTGCCAATGACTGACCTTGGTAACTAAATCACCTTGTCATTACTGTAACATCTGAAATCCAACAAAGGAACTATTGACATCAGACCATTTCTACTGACACAAGTCACCTTATCCTTGCATACTAATGCAGACAATTCACTGTGCATGTCAATGGACTTATGATAACAAATATGAGCCTGTACCTGTTGTAAATATATAACTTCACAGACATATTGCTAGTAATGTGGCCATTGATATTGTACACAAAATACCCATTTATTAAACTAAAATACCAGATCTGCATGCTGCACAGCATTTATTTCTCACTCTAACAATGTATCCATTTATCAAACTAAAATACGATATCTGCATGCTGTACAGCATTTATTTCTCACTCTAAAGTGTAACACATGAAAATCTAAATTAATTGCATCTAAAGTACATAATTTCTTAAGTGAAAGCTTTACAAAAATTCTTAATACAAACTTTTGATACTTTCAAAGATCAATTCAATGCAAATAACATGCACTACTTTCACAAAACAAACTGAATCCATAAATGTAAATGCACGAGTCCTACACAACTCCTTACTGAGAAAATGTTGGACATACCAATTATATCTATATAAACTCAAGTAAGAATTTTCTTTATCTATAATCCACTGCACACCAACTACTTAAAGGCGAAGTACAGCAAGCCCTAATCACACCAACTACTGTTCAATGACATGCATTCAGGTACTGGGTACATGCTGGCAACCAGCTCAAATATCTCTTGTCAATTTCACACAAACCAAATGGCAGCACTTGCAAATCATTGAACAATTGGCTGTGACCACATACTTCTTATTAGAAAATGAAATTATTGTTACTTTCTGTCACTAATACCACTGTCCATGGTCAAAATCCAGGAGCCTTGGAATAATCTTTGTCATTTATTTTTGCTGAACACTCCAACATATATTAATATTTTGCTTGCATTACGAATTGATATTTTTTTCTTCTTACCTTTTTTAGGATTTTTTTTTTTATTTTTGAGTGAGATTTGGGGATTGATCATTGCAATCTATGTTTTTGCTAAAAACCTCAAAAAACTAAAAACTATATATATTTCAAGACAATTTCTGGTTTAAAAAAAAGAAAGAAAGAAATTATCCATTTTTTTTTTCAAATAACATATCGGTGTAAGAGGATTTCAACATAAAGCTGTAGAGATATGCAAGTGTAAGGATCGGAGATTGCAATCAAACTTTGGCCATCTTGGTGAAAGGCAAATGCGCTGTGCCACACGATCACCCTGGAGAAAGTGTATGCATGATTATCAGTGGCTTTTTATAATTAAACAGGGACTGTTTTTAAAGTCCCTAAATCATCTGAGCAATCACTAATGAAGCCTCACAAGTACAAAAGAAACCAAGAAATAGAAAACAACTTGCAAATGAAATATACCATTTAATCTGAGGCAGAGATAAATATCTTTGTGCTTAAATGATTGTTGGAGGTTGCTTTCCTTTTTTACCAAATTTTGTAGAAATCTAACCAATAATACATTTCTTTCACCGTTTACAATTTTGATCAACTGATTACTAACAATTTTAATTTTGTCCTACTGGTAAGAATTTTTTGACTGAATAGGGTTACATTTCAGTTAGATTATTAATTTTATAACAATCTTTAATGTAAAGACAACATTTATTGGAATTTCACAAAATCTGTGAAAAAATGTGATAATAATTTAAAGGAAATATACATAAACATTCATTTAACAGGAAGATAAATGTTAATTTGCCTGGATCACATTTCTTAAACCACATTAAACCATAGATATTGACTGACACCATTTAGAATGGAATACTATTCTAACTTTGAATAACAACAATTCCATCACATTATTTTTAAACAGAAGAGGTCTAATCTATGCCACACAACATGCAAGAACTCAAACACTCGCATATAGTACTGTAGCGAATTATCTTGTACTTCGGACACAATATATCGCACGCCATTCATATAAATGGCAAAAACTGTAAAGCAAAAATTAAAACAATAGGCTAATACAGTGTTGTCAATAAATACTGACATCCAATAATTTGTCAAACAGCTACAAAATACACAATAAATTTCAATCTGTAGTCCATATCTGTGTCTCTAAAAAAATTGGTTAAAGTTTTTCTTACTACGCAAAATGTTATTGACAACACTGCTAATATTTCACAAATGGCATGTTAGCGAGGTCTTAATCACATGGTTTAGTAGTACGGACAGAGAGTCAAGCAGCATGTGACAATACAGTATTGTTAGTCATCCAACTATACATGTGTAATTCACAATAGCGCTCAACTTATAAAATTACGCTGTAACCAATTCCTGGGTATATATATCAACTCTACGTGATTTAATACTAAAATAATAACACGTGGATATATAATATATATATAAATTGCATGTCATAATGAAGCAGCCAACCAAGTCATACTTTACTACTTCAGAACTAAGACCACAAGTTTTCATTGAGTAAAATTTCTTCATGGTAACTGATAAAACCAGAAGAATTTTCAGAAATAAACCTAATCAAGTTTTCCACAGATGAGGAAGCTTACCGTATGATTTACAGGAGTGCAGCACCATGTTATAGTAAGTTAGTATATACATATACGAAGAACAAACATTTAGTTAACATAAAGATACATGACAACATCCTATCACAAGTACACAAAACATTATGCAAACTACATTTATGAACATATTTAACAATAAATTAATGACCTAATTATTAAAATATTCAAATTGTACAGATTTACCAGATTTCTGCTGCAATATAATTAATATTCAAAATATAATAATTTAACTGGATATCTCATAAAAAATTGATATACTGTAGACAATGGAAAACAAGAGCTTTTATAATTGGAATTAATGGACATGATAAAATGTATTGGCCACACACTGGACAACTGAATTCACACTATGAAATGTACAAAAAAAATACATTTCAGCCACTCCTGTACATAAACACAGATAAAAATCAGAGAAACAGTATGATTTTCATTCTGAAGTAGTAAAATACGTTAAAAAACCTGATTATATATCAAAGGTTCATCCACCTTGATGACAAATGGCTGATTGACATGCAAAATTGTTGACTTACTTGCCTCTCTGTCTACTACAAGTACTTGACTTCCAGCATGTTTGTGACGGACTGGCAATTTACAAATTATCTTAATTATTACACATAAAAACAATATTCAGCATCACTGTCCAAATCAATACAGCAACAAGCCTTAATGATATGCCATCAGGAATATGTGAAGCTGCAAAGTCTAGCTAGGTTTAGCAGAGGAATTATTGATCTGCTATTGGACAAGCCACCTGTGAGGAGCTAGAAATGTTAGAAATTTGCTGTAATATTCATTAACTAAATCTTAAAATTGACCCAAAAAGCAACCTATTATCCCATTGTACATATTGTGAAAATATTTAAATCTTTCAAAAAGAAACTTAGAAGTGGTATATATGCTCAGGTGCATGCTACACAAACTTTTAAAACAAGGAAATATAGGAGAGGGAGAATATGTATTTGATACAATATGACCATTAGGAATGAAAGTTACAGGAATTATCATCTACAGTGTTTCAGTATATGTAATTATTAACAGTTTCTGGTTGAGAGGATTCACACTCCTGGAACTAAATAGGTGAGTTAAGGAAAGTGTTAAGGTGTTAACACTGTAAGTGAAATAAAGCAACACCATTTTTAACACCAAGAGGTGGGTTTTAAGAGAGATGAAAAGTTAGCGGGAGCACTACATCAATCACTCGTCAAATATTAAGTCGAAATTGGTGCTATACGGATCAACGCTGGATTGATAATAATCTGGAGGCTCCACTTACCATTAGCTATGCGGGACCCTAGGTTAGCACATGCAACGTAACCAAGTCAAGGAGACCAACCATGAAGAAAATGAACAAAAAAAAGCATTAAATATAAAATTGTAATAATAAAAAAATGCAACAAAAATTCTAACCACAAAAAATAAAACAAAACTTGCTATATAGTAGGTACTTTTAAATGTTTTCATGTGCATATTCAATTGTTTTCACTTTAGTTCAAAGATGTATAGGTGCAGGATTTTCCTCTTACTATAAAATATCTGCGCAATGAATAATATTGAAAGTTCATTAAGAATTTCATGAGTATTAATGAATAAATTTGGTAACACCTGAATATAGCACCTGCACTGATAATTCACTTACTAAAGCATGATCACATTGGGGTGAATATGTTCTGGATGCATCATGTACAAAGCTCACCATAAAACATTCCTATTTTAGAGTGCAGTAATGTAAAAAGTAACAATAATCCCCAGAAATTTAATTTAGCATCCTTGGTACCACACAGAAATAAGAGAGAAATCTCAATTACTGTGATTTAAGGGTGTCAAACATGCACATGTTTTTTTCTTCTTTTTTACATGGTTGTTTCATAAATAATGGGGAAGTTACTGTTTTAAATCTAAAGGTGAAAAAAATCAATATAAGCAGCAATGTTCTTGCTGTTCACATTAGGTACTCTTGATTTACCCCAGGAACAGGAAAAATCATCAACTTGTTAATGTTTACTAGTACTCATCCAATGTGAAATCACAAATGCATAAATCCTTGGACTTCAAGCACATTTTGCTTTCACTGTTAATTATCAGATTCTACAGAAATTGGAAAATACAACACTCAAAATCATCTACTAAGAAAGAATAACCTGACATAAATTTGAGACTTCCTCTTGTACCATTTGTAATGTAGTGTTTAAAACCCCATCAGTAAAAGTAATATATGAGGCCATCAACATTCTCTTGACAAATTGGCAGCTTACTCCAATCATATGATGATTTGGTCTTCTGTCACTTTTCTGAACAAATGTGCATTCAAGAAACAGATATTGTAAGTGCTTCCACTTTAATTTTTAGTTCGATCTTTTTTGGATAGCATGTGCATCGTTATATTTACATTTGCATGTAACACAGTTGATTTCCAGGAAGTGGAAAATTTACAGAAAGGTGTGAAGCAAGTTACATTACACCTGAAATACTTATTACTTTTTCAATTTTATTTCCCTCCTCCAACAGGTAAGTAGCAGTGGTGCTGAAAATCACTCATTATGACATACTGGTGAGAACTCTTCCCAACCCATATTACCCAACCCTCTTTTTGTTGCAGTGCAGGGAACATCATTATTTTTTAATTTTTCTCTCCATTCTTCTGCAGAAATTTTTCTTATTTTCATGTGTATTTAATGGAAACGTGAATTTTGTACCAACAATATCTTAATCTCCTAAATCTAATGAAAATCAGATTTTGTTTTCCCAGTTTCTGCAAAATGTTGAGAAATGCATATGACAACTGCTTTGTACATGTCACATCTTAAACAGGAACAGCTAATAACCATACCATTAATAATTGGCAGTTAATACATAAACAACAAATATCATAATAACTACACACAGATTTGAATAACACAAGCCAATATAAATGAAATTCAGATGAAAGAACATGCATATGAATAAAAGGATCAACAGTAAGAATTGAATTTTGACTTGTCTGCATAATTGAAAAAAAAATAGCCGAGTCATGTATCAAGTACTTCATAGTTCTCATATATGGTATGGATATTATAAAGCAAGCTGAAGGTATTGGTTTTGCCCTTGAAAAGGAAATGTAGTAAACAAAGCAAAATAAGAGCATTTGCTTTGTCTTACAAATTACATTGATATTACAAAGCAAACTATGAGGCAATTTTATTGTATAGCTCTCAACCTATGAATCAGCATTGATTGTATTTGTAATGCAGTGTCCTCCCTAAACTATTGATGTATTGCTACATACAAATCTAAATCTATACATATTAACTTTTCTTTTCATCATTTGTTACCTGCTATCATATTATTTTACCTACAGCTTCAAATAATGCAAGTGTAGCATCTATGTAGCTTCTACATCTGTATTAACATTGGAAACAAAGTTGCATTAATGTAATTGAACTGAATTAAACTAAGAAAACAACTGAGCACTGAATCTTTTGTTAAATTTTGGCAGTGATGCAGGAAAAATAGAAGAAAAAAAAATGCAGTGATCTGAACCAAAAAATGAACACAATACATCATAATATCATAGGGAGAACACTGTATTAATTGATACCAATTTATAACTTCAGCATTCGTATTATCAAAATCATTCTTTAAGTCCTGATTGAAAATCACTTTCAATGCATATCACATATTCAGAGAATGATACAGTTCATAAACTATATTCACTTCAATATGGTTCTTGAACCAGACCAAACAGAATGACAAGTGTGTTTAGGATTGTAATGGAAACTGGGTAGGGCCAATAGACTGGAAATATTTAATTTAATTTTGTTTTTTATGGGGGTGGGTGGTGGGTAATTATGTACGAAAGCCATTTATAATAACATGTATATTGAATATAAGCACATCAGGGTCTCTACATCTGTCCTAAAAGCCTGAAAAATTATTCTACTTTTTGCAATGGTAAAGCCAGTAATGGAACATTTGATTTCCAGTCAAAGCTTGAGCATGAATCATAAAACATGTTGTCCATGACTTCATTTCTAAACCATTAGCTTTAAATGTTGCTCTGTAATTCACATTCTTTCCTTCTCTGCATTCTTAAATTTTCTTCTGTTCAATCTGGTCTATCTCTTCATATTTCTAGACACACTCTTGAGGTTATGCTTTCCCAAACTAAAGTGGATGTACCCATCCAAGGATATTTTTTTGATGCGAATAACATCGATGTAATATAAGATTAATTACATGTCGGGCTAGGCGAAATGTGAAGGCAGGATCATAGTCATCAGGAACCTAAACACACATTTATTTTGGCCAGAACAGTGAATTAACGCAATGAGGAAATACTTGTACTTCTAAAAGACAACAATGCAGAGTGAAATGTTTGCTTTGTAACCTGTTCACACAGAAGAAATAGGATTTGTCCAGGAGAATATGTAGACATGAAACTATACATGTACTTATTTCTTATAGCTACTGTAGGCATACCTTCACTTCCTTCCTCCTCATCCTCATCATCTTCTGTCGACAGCTCATTGTCAGAGCAAATACTCAAAACATTCACAAGCATCTCTGTCACTGAAAAAAGATAAACACATCTGTATTATTGCCAGCTATTCATGTTCAACTTTCTAGCCTTTACATATAAACCAGTAAATTTGAAGATGATATTCCAGTATTTTTTATCCTTTAATGAAGGAAACTGGCTGTTACCAAAAGCTAATGATCACACTGTCATCACAAAGGTTTTTCAAAATTGTAAATGTTTTTCTTCCAAAACTTGTTCAAATTACCTTTTTCACCAACAAATGGTAGTGACCATGTGAACACATCCATGAAGTTGGGCAACCAATATGGGTGTGGAGAACAATTGAACTGTCTGATGTTCATCACATTGTTTTCATACTTTAATATGGCAGCTACAAAACAAAAACAGCTTATAATTATTTGGGTTTCAGAAACTAGATACACACGATAGATCAGTTCATACTTCTCATAAAGCAAAGTTTCACATAGCACACTTAAAGGTCATTACTTCTTACTTCTAAGTTGACCAAAGGAAGATTGATAAACCTGAAAGAAGAGAAACATTTTCAAGTAGAAACAAGAGGCTAATGGGTCTTAATGGTCACTTGAGGTGTTCAGGTCTATGGTCAGTTTTAAAACCTGTCCATAAGTCTCATCTTTGGGACTGAACATAACTGATATAAGCATACTTACAGAGTTTTTCTTGTTTCTAAGTTTGAAGGCCAAATTTTCAATTAAACAGAACTGATAACAGTCTGTTGTTTTAGTTGAGCATATTTAACCCCTTTGACTTTGAATGAAGGTCAAGGTCATTCATTAGAACAAACATAGACCTTCATCCTAGCAAGCTACTGGCATAATATCATGACACTGGTTCATTTTATTATTGAGAAGATGTTATAAGATGTTTAACACATTTGATACCTGTGACCTTGAAAATAGGTCAAGGTCATTCAAGTGAACAACCCTGTAGCCCTTCATCCCAGCATACTACTTGCCTAATACCATGACCAAGGGCCTTTTGGTTATTGAGAAGTAAAAGCAATTGCAATAGGTCACTCAGGTGACCTAAAAAGGCTTTAAAACTTACCCTAAAATTACACAAATCTGGCAGTAAAAACTGTTGATTTCTCTATGTTTTGCTTACCTTTATTATTATAAACATCTAGGTAATTTGGAGCTGAAAATATCGTTATTAGTGATGGAAAACCTGTTGTCTGACTCTTCCTATACATGCGGTATCTGTAATAAGAAATATAAATCCTAGAATTAGGCACACATTCCTATTAAATACAATCGATTCTACCATAATTGGGAGTTGAAAAGGAAAATTTTTAAAATTAAGTAAATTTTACCCCTTTTGGCCCTGCCCATCAGTCCCTAGGGCTCAGTCGGGATCAATATATGCATACCATCTAGCTGTCAAACCTTCACTCATAATTCTAACCAAGTTTAAAATATTTCCGACCGAAATTAAACAAATTTTCTCAAAAATGTGAGACATCACCATAATGTGCTTCCATATATAAAGAGTATTTGATTCTACTACATCTGTGTGATTTTTGAAATCTGAGATAATTTGACCATGTGACTCCACTCACTTGGTTTATCTTTGGCCAGGGAAGGTTTCTGCAAAATTTCATTGAAATCAGTTCAGGGGTTTTGAGAAGCAGAAATGTTAAATTGTTAACGGATGCATGGTGCTGAATGTGATCCCAATAGGTCACCATGATACTATGTCACAGGTGACCTAAAAATATTGGGTCCCACAATGGAAAGTTGGAAGTATTTCCAGAAATTCTACGAGTCCCATAATAATTCTTTGAGTACAGGACTCAGAACTTGCTCGTAAACTGATCACTAATTTTCCTCATTTTATTTGTATGCAACAGGTCAAAAACATTACTTACCCAGCATCTTGTGCCTCATGTGCTCTAATAATTGATAATAAATTATTCTGTGACAAAAAATCACAACATGCTGCATAGCTGAAAAGAAAGAAAGCTTTTTCAATGACCTCTTCACAATTAAAGCTGAAAACTGACATTATCCCTCATCAATGATATAACCATGATAAAATTCTTGTTTAACAGATTATTCAAAGCTGTCAATGACAGGTTTCATCAATACTGATCTTAAAAAAAAATATGGCTGCCAGAGTAATAACAAGGATTACAGCAATAATATAGTTTAAGCTTTACATTTGGTATAGAGGCTTCTTTCATGTAACTAGTTGAAATGATCTTTGTTGTACAGAAATTAAAATATACCATAATGAAACCTTTACCTGAACGAAATGGGGATGCATGTTATATTTGGAACTGAAAATTCAGTTTTGGATATCTTTGTCAAATAGCAATAAATCAAAAATGTCTGTACTTTTTTTTTTGTCAAATTGCAAGACATATAGAATGAAATTCTTTCTCCTGTCTAAAATTTATATAATAAACATTAATCAAACTGGTCTCCAAAGCAGAAATACCCCAAAATTGTATCTACTACCTATTTAAATCCACGTCTGAAAGGCTGTATTTGCCAAAATTCAAAAGAAGTAAAATGTGAAAAATGTAACAAAGAGTTCAACCTTATCATGTTCTGAAGAATAAAGCTGAATATCATGTATGTATGTTTCAAGTTAAAACTTCATCATTCTAAGATCAACAAATCAACAGTAACTAATAATCGTTACTAATTCATATCAATTTTCACAAAGCTGTTGATTACCAGTCCTGATTATCACATCACCATGTGTTCTGAAACTTAAAAATATGTTTACCTGTAAAAATATGAGCAACCTCTGACACTATTATGAGTGAAGTGTTCTGATGTTTTCTCTGTCCCAAAGTCTTCCAGGGGGTCAGACCACAAGAGGTCACACATTGGACCAAATGCAGGAGGCTCCTTGAACCTGTCCAACTGATAAAAAGGACATTTTATTTTCTTTCCTAAGAAATGAACTATTCATGCATATTTTGAAATTTCAATGCAACAATTTGACATTTTAAAGACATGATCTAAACTTCTCCATTCATTCAGAAATCCTCTTATGTTTCTAATTGTCTTTCAGAGATTGGCTAGTACTATGTGTTAAAAAAAGTTATTCTTAGTTGTCTCCAATCTTACAAAAAAGGAAACAGGTACATAGAATAAGAATATATTCCATCATTGCTTTTTTTTATTAAAAAGCAAAACAACACTCCACTGCAGAAATCTCGGCCAGCCACCATTTGGCAGCAAACTTGTTTTTCCTCTAAATAACAGTGTAATAAACTTGCTCCTTTCAGTCAATTTCAGGGTTAAATATGAACAACTAAGGAGCAAGGAAAATGTACCATGAAATAAGATACTTTGAGAGATAAGCAACAACAAATTTGACAGTAATGCTTCAAAGTTTAAATGAATTTTGTAAACATTTACATGGTACTAAGTAAACGATACACAAACATGTACACAAAATTTATATTAAACAAAGACACAAAAAGTTGAGTTTACCAAATACAGGTCATAACAATTGCTTTGTGTTTGGCCTTAAATACTGCAAACTGAAGGTTATCTGTCCAGAAAACTCATCAATATCTGTCAATATGTTTCTTCATTAATTAAAAAAAAAAAACCTTGGTTGAAATTTTTTCCATTCACTTCATATGGCCTACACAAGTCTGGTATAGTACAGAATTGTTAGGTCTGACATATGATCTACAGTAACAGAAGACAGATGACATGCATCAGAGCTTTTCCTTATCAACCACTTTAAACACATCATTTATTCTAAATTGATATTGATACCAGCAATGTAAAGAATCAGCAACTGATTTTTTTCTACCACGAGACCAACATGGATAATTTATCACAAATCTGTATGATAAACATGATGATTTCAATTTCCCCCATCATAATTTTTTCATTTCTGGACCAAAACAACCCTGTAATGCCAACCTATGGTGTTAACATTTCACAGTTGATTCAATATTCAAGGACCTGTTCCCCAATATCAAAATTTTCAAGCAAGATGTCATTAATTGACAAATTCATAAAACAGAGTTAAGCAAGGGATCAATAGTGATCTCATTTAGAAATCATCAATTTCATTCGGCAATTAAGAAGTTGGACATATTTGATGCTCGTTTGTTTGCCTGTTGATTCTCCTGTTGTACACATTGTTCTCATTTGAGAATGTGACATTACTTACTTGGATTGACCAAGATTTACATGGTGTTTCTTTGATGAAGCAAAAGATGCTTACTCTTCTGAAACACCTATAACTGAAGTTTTTAGCCATCTAATTACACAATTTTAGAATGAAGATATTAAAATCCTGGAGCCTTGTCTTGTTCTCAAGAAGTGTCCATATAAATCTTTTCCTTTTATTCATATTTTCCCTAGTTTTAATGAATTGGAGTGTGGAATATGATTATGTTGTTATTTTCTTGTTGTTTTTGCCTATGATACCAGTTATGCAGAACTGCCTTTTTGCTCCTTTCTTACTATGTTCACCTTATAACCTGAAGTTCTGATTATCACAGAAATTTCACCTCCTCATTGATCTCCTGATCAAATTTTTTTTCATCACTGTTTTGTAGTCCAAATCAAATTAGACAATTGAAATAGTTTGTTTAGGATGGAATATCAATGTTATTTTCATAATGCAAGATAGTCTTCAGATGGCCATTCAGTTATGCAAAACTGGTGACATGGAACAAATAAATAAAAGTAAAATTAAATAAAATCATACTTTTCTTATATCTTCTAATGTGTGGATTTCTGGTGAAAGACCTCCATGAACACAGAGGAACTGCTGATTCATTAGTGCTGCAAGTGGCAGACAGTCAAACGCATCCATGCAAGCATCATATACTCTCTCTGTGTACTTTATTTTACCTAAAAATAAAGAAAGAAATCACAATCAGGCTCATTTTGATATACAACATTAATTTGAAACATTTTCATCAATGCAGAAAGTCAAACGGAGTCCATTTATGGCGAGTGCAAATCTTTATACATGTGAATCAAAAAAAGTCAGCCAACAGCTGCTCATTTGCACAATGGTCAAGAGTGACCTTTGACTTTCATCATTAACCCTTAATCACCAAAGATGTAGATTTGAATGTTGTGATGCTATGACGTGAATCTTAACAGAACCTTTTCAGGTGATTCATAATATATGTTGTACACAAGCTTTCTATTTCCAAAGTGATTAAGGGTGACCTTTGACCTTTAACCTTGACTAATATTCAATAAAATCTAATCAGGTGTAGACCTTGGTGGCATGATGCTATGGTGTGAACATTTACCAAATCTTATTAGCGGTTTTGTCTTTTACACAAGCTTACATTGGATGATGCACTTATTTACTAATGCACCTGTACACAGAGTGATAAACTGGTGACTATATACCCCTACCCTATTTAAGTGAGGAGTATAATTACAAACTCGAGAAAAGAATCTTGACACAAACTCAACAGAAATAATGTAATACAAGAAAAAAAGCCTGAGGACTGAAACTGATTACAAATCTTATACTTACACTCTTGTTTAAATGTGAAATATTCTGTAAGGTGCCTGCATTCATGATTGCCTCTCAACATGAAAAATGTGTTTGGATGTAGAAGCTTTAGGGACCAAAGGTATAGAACACACTGAAAAGTAGAGATAACATTTATCATACCACAGTTCGAGAACTTTTCTGTTACACTACTTTATTGCATCACAAAGCTGACAGAGTATACAGCAAAAACACAGGAGGATCAAGTAAACATAACTGTGAGCTATAGCGGTGGTCTTTTCTTTCTCGCATCACAAAGTAAACATTCTTGGATTCACCTGACAGTTTGCATATTCAGTGCAAATATTGTGCATCTTCCAGCATCGACAGCGGAAATGACCTGCTTGGTCACCACAAAATCCTGTCTAAACAGGATGGGACCACTTATCTTGTTGTAAGCAAAATATTTGTATGAACTAGCTCAAATACCATGCAAATCATACCACAGTAAGTGGTTATACTGTACACATGTAACTATGTTATGTTTAGAAATATAATATCTGCGATCACATAAATCACCAAAAACTCCACAGCACATACATATATCTGATCACCATCAATACAACAATACGATTGTACATCTCACACTTTGCTGCAATATCGCTAGTAATTTATCACAATGAAAAGAATTTGATTGTTCAAAGATGGAAAGTAATAGATCAAAATCATAACCTGAAAAGAATTAAAATTGTTTAAAAGATAAATCATCAAGGCAGGTACTGTGAAATATGGAGAATACTTCATCTAAATATCAAGTAACATTCAAAAATATTTTTTACCATTTATAAATGTTTTCATGCTAAAACTATGGATTTATAGTAGAGGTAAAAAAATCATCCACACTCCTTCACATAACTGTACAATTTGATGATTGATTCATCTGAGCATGGTTCATCTGAACAAATTAGCTAAGACCTGGTTCTGTAAAGCATGTAAGTATTGCTTCAGAAAGAATTCTCAACTCAACTTGTGAATGTTCATGAAAATGACATAAAATTTTCTTTTCTCGAAGTTTCAGTTGGACAGACAAAAAACATTGATAAAGATCTTGCAAATATGCAAAATCAACCAAAACTTAAGTTTTCATTAAAAATCAAGATATTACGAACCTTATTTTTTAGTTGTGAATATACCCCATGATCCAAATATCTATGAAATTTTGTAGCTATCCTATTATTTTTTAGTTGTAGATGTTGTGAATATACCCCATGATCCAAATATTTATGAAATTTTGTAGCTATCCTAGTTGTACTCTAAAAGTAGCATGTTCTTATTGAAACCTCATACAGAAAATGTGAACATCAACAGACAAGTCTTGCCTCTGCTTCTTCATTGTCACAAGATACTTTAATTGAATCCGGTGATTACTTTATTTGATGTCATCTTAAAAAATTGGAAAGTGATCCTCAGGAACCTCCAGAAAACACTGATAATGAAAGACGGGACTCATAGCCTCAGGTAATTCATCTATGAAACTAAGCTGTAATTAAAGGGTCTGGCTATTATCTAGATGCCAAATATTAAACTTTTAATTTCATATATTCAAGCTAATGGATTTTTTCCCATAGCCATAAAACAAAAACAAAAAAGGACAAAAGAGAGATATCAATGGTACATATTTAACATTACCAGTTGCAAATAAAAGTTTCAGAAGTTTAGCTTTACTTACTTCAATGCTGAAATATCCTCGGTCTACATAATCTCCTAAAAAGAGGTAGCGAGTTGTTGCTGGTGTGCCACCAACTTCAAAAAGTTTCATTAGATCATAAAATTGTCCATGAATGTCGCCACATACTGAAAAAGAGAAAACAAAAATAATTCATTATTTTTCTAGTAAATGACATTTCAAATTAATGTTCACACTAACATCAACAGGAAAACATAAAAGAGCTTTTTCACAATGTAGTCTTCAAGCTTTTTTTCTTTTAATTTTTAATTCATTTATCAAATTTTGTCAATTTTCCTATTGTATAGATACTCAAATGCAAGGAATATCTAACATTTCAAAAACATTTTAGAAGGTGTCAATAGCAAACCACAATGGAAATTGCTGACATAAAATGCAAAGGTAGACACATTTCCATGTCTGTTGTAAATTACTGGTACACAACAGTACTGTACTTCAATGAGAAAAGTGTACCATGTTTGCAACAATATTGATGCAGCACCTGCCATTAGTGTAACACCATATCAATGACACTTTTTCAAATCTATACAATGACTGATAACTACTATGCATAATTTCTCTAACTTTCTTCTGATTAAATTCAACTTCATAGTGGTGTAATTTTAATCAAAATAAAAACTATCTTGAAACTTGAAAACTCAAGTTCATGATAAGAGTTTATGAGTTTCACATAAATACAAAATATTCTACTTCTTATGTGTATCTTTTCACAAATATCTTGCTTATTACCAATACAATATTGTGTCTGACCATTAAGTAATAAATGAAATAGCTTGTAGCAGATACCTTTTCATAAATACCCACAACCGTAACATTCAGATACCATGCCTATTTTTGGTTTTCTTATTTCTCTGTGCATAATTATTTGTTTACTCTGCAGTGTAAAGATTTGTTACTTGAACATTTTGCTGAAAACTAAACAGAAATAACAAATAGGGATAACAGTCTTTGATAGATGAACTTCCACCTAGAGTTTTGGTACCAATTCTATAGAAAAATGTCCACACATGTAAATGTCAGCAGTCTGCACCACTCTTCTCTTGTCAGGTACTGGCAACAATTTTTCTTTCAAGTTCTATGGCACACATTTAGTCATTAGTCCTTAATGAAACAACTAATCCCATACCTTTGATGTTCAGATTTTTGAGCCCTGACTTGGCACTTGGAGAATACCTCATGAAATACTGGGACTGTCATAAGTATGTAGAGGTCAGGGCAAGTCTTTCCTAAAGGTTTAATGTCATGGAGTACAATACTACTACTTTGATCAGTCATTTACTGCAACTCATTTACCTGTAACAGGGGCCTCTATTTCGATCATGGTTTTCTCTTGGCGCAACATAGCAGCACCATCATTTATAATTCGTAATGCTACATCTTCTGTCACACGACCCTCCAAAATAAAGTGTTGTTTCAAAACTTCTGGTTTAGGTTTTCCATTAGCACCAAAGACTTCACTCATAATAAGCTTGTGGCTTGGTGGAAAGGGTGCACCTGTAAAACATTAATCACATACATCAAACTCAAGTAAACACAGATTTGAAAGGATTATCATAGATTCAATGACATGGATCAAATACCCCTGTAACCCCAGATAGCAATAATAGAAACAAGGTCACATCATTGTACATCAAAGGATGCATTTATGTGTGGTTTCAAACCATATTTAAAAATACTTTAAGATGACATATGTTAAAACATAAATCATATATGCTGGAAAAATCATATAAAATCTGGGTACATGGGTATATATCCAGTATTGCAAACCACATAAAATAGACTGCAAGAAATTAGTTGTCATTTGGTGTTGTCCACAAAACAACAACCAAGGTCATGAAGTCCATTGATGATGGATCACAAAAGATGGTACAAACAAACCAAAATACCACTTAGTTACCAAGACACAATAGCATGACAACCAAATCAAGTACATTACACCATTATGAAAGGCAGAAGGTAGTACCCTCTTTACATTACCAGGAAAACTGTATTCACTTTTAACCATGTTTTTACCCTTGTCCAACCCTTGATTTAAGAATTAGGATTTCCTAATAAACAATTGTACATCATGACCAAAAATGGATCCCATGTCAACAATGACCATCATTGAACTATGACATTACATGCAGCCTTCACTCCCTAGTGGATGAAAAATTGTGGCACCTCCCCTAAGGGAAATGTGATGAAGTTGCCATTCAACAAGCATAATGTTTGCCAACTCAGTTGTGAATCATTGTCCCTTGATCAAGTCTCCAATGATGCAAGAGATAACATCTAGATTCCAGGACAACCAAAAACTTGTGTCCAAGATATGTGTCTTCCTTCAGACACTGGAACCTTATATCCATTGCAGATAAAGAGCTTTCGGCTGCACCTTATGAGTCATTTCAGATTAGTGATATGGGATAATCATTGATGAGCTAGAGGGCCCTAAGCAACTTAAAATTTAGGCTAACCACTTTCTATTTTCATAATTTTCTTTTTACTGTAAAAAAATAACACACCTTATTTTTGACATTAACTAAAAAATGCTGAAAATGGGCCATTTCTCTCAGCTTCCTGGACATTCCCTGAACAATTTATTCTTTTTTTTTAGGTATTCATATTGTCCCCTTTCAGTACATATTTTAACAAGGGAAATACAACTTTGCAATATATCCATATTGAACAAGTTGTAAACAAGTGTATGTAATTACATTTTCTCTCATTTACAACCCAATATGAAAATACAGTACATATGATATGCATGAGCAAATGCAACAAGTAAGAAAAACAGGTGTACAAGCTCTAGTCAGAGCAGGTCTAAACCATACTTTCCTCCCTACTAACCTTCAACAGTCTTTTACACCAAAGACACACGAGAGCATAGCTATGCAAACCTGGGACTCTAAACTTTTTAACAGATACTCCAACCAACTGAATTGCATCAGGGTCACCGACAACATACCACATAGACACACATATGTACAGACTGTGAAAACATTGAGTTAAATCATGAATAACTGTTATAGTATTCATGTTCTTTAACCTATATTATGAAACAACACAAAATCATTTCTATGGAGATAGAGTACATCAATGTATCTTATTGAAATATTCCACATCAGAAATATTTAATTAAGTCACCAATATATGCAATATATATCTATGCTATTTCTAGTTATCAAGAACTATGATCAGATATTTCGAAGAACAGTACATTTAAAAGTTGCTTATTATTCTGATCGTGCATGGACATATTTTATCTCGGTCTAAATGATCGGTTATCAAGAGGCCTACATGTTTGTCAGCAAGTTGGAAATAAAATAATGAAATGGGCAGACAAAAATATTGAACTCGAGCTGTTGGTCATTCAAAATGCCTTTCCTGTATACTCTAATGCTGAAGAAGATCGAAAATATCCAAAGACCGATATCAATTTTGGGTGTTGTACAACGGCCTGAAAAATTTGTTTAGGAATGTAAACAACAGAACTGTCAATCACCTGAACGCCAGTAGTGGGATGAAGATGAGGTTAATAACGTTATGCTGCTTGCAATATTAACGAGTTGTGCATATATATAACAGCACAAACATATCATTTTCAAAAAGCATTAATCTTTGGATATTTTCTGCTAATATGCAAACGCGCATCATTATTTTTTTCAACCTGACGTAAAAGGGTATCAGATACCCTAGTCATGGCTGACAGCCAATATGGCGGATCTTGCTATTTTTGTCGCAAAGTACCTGGATACTTACTCTTGACGACTCTTTCTGTCGTCGATACTTTGGAATCTGTAGACATCCTGGGACTTTAAATGGGAAGTAATCATAAAGATGTGCCTTCGATGGCACACAATTTTTGTGATTTGCTCCGATTTTCCCGATGGTAAACAAGTCCTTCAAGATGGCGTTAACAACATCTTATTTGCATACGAAACTATCAGTGTGCGCAGAAATTTGCGCAACCTTGCCAACGCCCGGTGCGACGCTACCAGGCCTAACTAACCGATAATACCACAAACGCACGAGAATAGTCGAACACTCAATGCAATAAAAAGGGTTTTGTTTGAAACTGTAAATATACATGTATAATACAATCGATGCATCGAAGACTTGGAAATACGTTTGAATTACCTATAGAAACCAGCATTTCATTTCCCATACATTCATAATGGCACGGAGCGTTAATGTCCAACAAAAAAACGACATAAGCGACCGATCGTGTGATAAAACTGTCAAACACTACAAGATAAACCGTTTGCATCTTGACATGATTACACTAAAACTAAATATATAATAGTCATTTTGTACTTAATTGAATTTTATATTCATTTCCACTACATAGGATATTTATGACACGCGTTTAAACCTTAGATCGACCTAAGATTCAGAACTCTCCATTATAAAATGGGTACGGAATGTATACCCGTAAAGAAAGCATACACAGAAACGAAAACATGGAGTGGATATATAATATATTAAAATAAAAGTAAAAGAAAAATAAACAATAAAAAATAAACACGGATGCATGTAACAACGTTGAGATAAAATATAACGAAAGAAAATGTATTTACTTACATTTAAGGATGACAAAGGTGTTCAAAGACGTCTGTGTTTTATTTTTTTTATGATTTAATATGATACATAATGAACGCGCCTTTTTGTGTTGTGCTTTTTGTTTTGGTCCCCCCCCCCCCACTTTTTTCTTCGGGTTTGTTTACCCCCCCCCCCCCCCCCCACTTTTTTCTTCGGGTTTGATTACATAATTTTTCAATGGCCCAGATGATACAAATTTTCAATGAAGTTATTCTAGACCCGATGGATATCACGAATTTATTTACAGTAAGTTAGGTCAGTGGCAAATCTAATATTCATACTTATAGAATTATTCTTTAACTGTTGTAAATACTTGTAAATACAGAAGACAAGTAGTACTCATATCAAACTACACAAAAACAAGGGAAGAGACACACCTACTATATAACATGAACCTGTGCCATGATTCAGACGAATATGACGGAATGAAGAAAAAAAATCATGGCAGAGAAATAGATGACTTTTGTATTTGGTTTGTGGTGTGTACTAACATCGACTACATACCTGTATATATGCATGTTTACTAATGCAGAGTCATTCGCTCTATACTTTGACATTAGCTGTACTGACACCTAATGACGTATGTCTAAATCACGCGCTGACAAAGGGGAACCGAGAGGCGTTAAAATCACGAATTCAGGATGTCCTCTTAGTTATGCAGGTGTCCACGTCACTTACGTGTTTTACATTGTAATCCCGGACGTTTACATTTTTTTTAATCTGACGCATCAACGCGCAAATAGGCAGAAATAGCATTTCATTATGATTGTTGTATTAGGGTGCGTGGGGTTGGGGTGGGGGTACGGTGGTGGCCGATGTCATGACAGTCAGTTTTATCTCGTCTTATTTCATTTACTACTTTGTCTTTGCGCTGTTTTGTCTATGCACTACATTGCCAAATTTTGTATACGTGCGATTTGCACACGTATTTTTTTTGTCTTCGCGCTACCTTATCTATATATCATTTATCCATGTATCACTTTTTCTTTTCACGGTTTTGTCTTTATGCTGTTTTGGCCTTGTATTTTTTTGTCTTTGTGCGATATGTTCAAATGCCAGCTTTATATTTGCACTATTTTATATATAGACTATTTTGCCGTAGCACTATTTTGGCTAGGTGTGTTTTGCAAGTATGTTTTGCCTTTATGTGTTATATATACAACTTTGTCTTTGTGCTGTTTTGTCTATATATTACTTTGTCTTACTACTTCTATGTACTATTTTGTCTTTGTGTGACTTAACTATATACTATTTGTATTTGATCAATGTTATATTCATCCACGTACTGTTATGTTTGCGTACTATCATGCCTATGAACTATTTTTCATTGTCGTATTTTGTTGATGTACTTTTTATCTATGTCCCCTTTAGTCTATGCATTACGAAGGTATTTGCCTGTGTTCTATTCATCTGTTAACTTCCATCCCTCTGTGAACTATTCTTATTTTTGTACTATTTTGTTTGTACTCTTTGTATGAACTATATTTTGTCTATGAAATGTTTTGCCAATCAGCTATTTTGTCTTTTAGCTGTTTTGTTTATAATAAACTATTTTGTCTTTGAATTAGTTTGTTAATGTGCTTTTTGTCTGTGTGCTGCCTGTCCATGACTCATTTTTTCTATATGGTTAATTAAGTGCTATTTTGCCTATTCTCTACACAATTTGTCGTAATACTGTTTCGTTTTCATACTACTCTCTCTACTTATTACTTCTACTTATTTGCTATTTCGGTTTTATTGACTTTAAAATCCATAGCGAAAGGTCAAGTCAGCGATTCTATTAATAATATAAATCGGGTTGCTTGATTCAGAGCTTGTCTCTTCAGGGGTCCCACAACGAACACCTGAACACCTTAAATCTCACCTAATGATTATATATATATATAAATCGATTTTGAAATCAGCGTTGTCGT